GTTACCTGGTGGGGAGCAGGGCTCTGTGCTGTGGGGATCGAGGTGTTACCTGGTGGGGAGCAGGGCTCTGTGCTGTGGGGATCGGGGTGTTACCTGGTGGGGAGCAGGGCTCTGGGCTGTATCACCTAATCATGTCTCTGCCTGGGTGTTCAGGGCAGGTGACACAGGGATCAAAGCAGTGGGATCTTTGAGAAGATTCCCAGACCACCTAGCAGCTTGATGAAATCACCATTATTACCACAAGGCCCGGGCCTGGGGACAGTCCATCAGCAGCCTACGGTCAGCTGTCAGAAAACCCCCGCCTGGGAGGGGACAGTGTTGTCGGGAGCTTCCTGTATCTCTTAGGTCTGAAGAGAACTGCTGTTTCACAACGTAGATCTACAGTGACAGCTTTTACAGGGTCTGAGTGTCTGTGTGTCTGTGTGTCTGAGTGTCCGTGTGTCCATGTGTCTGAGTGTCTGTGAGTCTGTCTGTGTGTCTAAGTGTGTGTCTGAGTGAGTGTCTGTGTGTCTGTGTGTATGTGTGTCTGAGTGTCCGTGTGTCTATCTGTGTGCCTAAGTGTCTGTGTGTCTGAGTAACTGTCTGTGTGTCTGAGTGTCCGTGTGTCCGTGTCTGTGTTTGAGTGTCCGTGTGTCTGACTGTCTGTGTGTCTGAGTGTCTGTGTGTCTAAGTGAGTGTCTGTGTGTCTGAGTGAGTTTCTGAGTGCCTGAGTATCTGTGTGTCTGAGTGTCCGTGTGTCTGTGTCTCTGAGTGTCTGAGTGTCCGTGTGTCTGTGTGTTTGAGTGTCTGTGTGTCTGAGTGTCTGTGTGTCTGAGTGTCTGTGTGTCTGAGTGTCTGTGTGTCTATGTGTCTGTGTGTCTGAGTGTCTGTGTATCTGCGTGTCTGTGTATCTGTGTGTCTGTCTGTGTGTCTATGTGTCTGAGTGTCTGTGTGTCTGTGTGTCTGAGTGTCTGTGTGTCTGAGTGTCTGAGTGTCTGTGTGTCTGAGCATCTGTGTGTCTGTTTGAGTGTGTGTCTGAGTGTCTGTGTGTCTGAGTGTCTGAGTATCTGTGTGTCTGTGTGTCTGAATGTCTGAGTGTCTGTGTGTCTGTACACTCTAAATGCCAGGGGTGGGTTGACTGGAGCAACTGACGCTCCAGCTTGACTTGCACTATATGGAGCACAGACCATGGGCACCGTTTAGACTTAAAGAAATGATAAGAAAATGAACTCTTTTTTTAACTTTAAAAAATAGAATTTTTTTGGGGGAGCTCTGGTGGCCTAGTGGCAAGAAGCTGCAACTACAATCCCAGAGGTGCACGGTTCGAATCCACCAGATGCTCTGCCGGGGAAGGAGGGGCAATCTCCTCCTGTACCAGTCAGATCTGATTTGACGGTACACACACACACAAATAATAAAATAAAAAAAAATAGAATTTTTAAATTTTTTTTTTTTAATTTAGGGAGATAAAAGTCCAAATTCAGGGCACTGACTCTAGGGGAAGGTCTTCCTTGATGCCAGAGGCCAGGAGTAAAATCAAACCCTCTGTGCCTCCTCAGACTATATTTAGGGGAGACTGTCAATCTTATCAACGTCCTTCAAGATCATCAACAAGGTGAGAACACGGCTCTTCTCTCAATCTTGGACCGCAGAAGAGCACTTAAGGAATTACAGCTTACGAAAATGAACTTTCAAAGAGTGAGTTCCTCAGGGGCACTGGCCACATGGCGCGTGCTCCGGACCTGCACATGCGGGGGGCGGCTGGGCTGGGGGCAGTGGGCAGCTGGGCCGGGGGGGCGGGGCGCAGTGGAGGACCACTTGGCTCATTGCTGCAGCTCTGCTGGCCGAGACACTTAGCCTGGAAGTAGCTGTGTGTTACCACAGTACTTTGTAAATGCAGAAGTCACTGTGAGCTGTAGTCCAGCTCTAAATAATATTCCAAGTGAAGTGACTTTGTGTCTACTTTTGGACTGGTCATTGTGTACTGGCCATCACACTTGGGTCTGCCCAGAGGCATCACAGGCTGCAGGGCTACCCTGTTAGAGAGCCTGCGGCACCGGTCAGCCCCAAACAGAGCTTCATGACCCCACAGAGAAATCCACTTCCCATCACAGAAGGGTTTGATCCTATTGTGCTAACAGGCAGATTGAGGTCAGCAGGGATTTGAAGGTTTTAAAGCTCTCCGGCTTGGAGGCTGTGTGCTCCGCAGAAACCAGCTCCAACTGGTCTGCTTTCCTCCCTAGAAATGCCCAGAGCTAACTTTCGGCTCCACCTCTAGATCATATTGTTTATCTGGGAAGTCGGTAAGCATTTCAAGATGGACGTTGAAAAGGCCAGTTCTCCAAATCCTGTGCATGGAATGCCTTTGATGGCAATAACACGCGTCTTGCTAGAAATGGAGGCTCTTAAAAACACATTTAGAAGAGCACATGCCAAATTGAAATGCCTTTTTGCTTTTGAAATTTTGCAGGGAGCAGGGTGAAGAAAATATCGACAAAATGAGTAATTTTACAAGCAAAGCCAGTAGCCCGGCTGCTAGAGGGTAAAAGGACGCTTCCAGAGAAGGTTCCAGAAGCCATGGACAGCAGTCAGGGCCATACACAGGGTCACCCCGTTATCACGGCTCCTTCACACCAAGGGAACTCAGTCCTGTCAGCTCCCATCAGTTCCTCAGACTCATTTGAAAGCCAGTTCAATGTGATTCTGTGCTTCTGGACTTCACCAGTGGAAGTGATCAGACCCAAAGCACTCGAGATATTATTATTTAGCTCTTGGAATGAGTTCAAATAGACAAGCTGGCAGTCAGAGAAGCAGTTAATAGCCACCCATCTGTTCAGACTCCAGATATACGCAGTGGCATCTCTCATTTTGAGAAAGAGTGGTAAATTGTCTCAGTTCGGGGTACAGAGTCCACGCCCTCCCTCCACGTGTGCTGACACCCCGAGTGACCCTTTACGGCAGGGTACTTACGACTGTGGTCCCGCACGTACTGGATGAGCTCACACGTCTGCAGTTTAAAAACAAGAGAGAGGTTAGCTGGCAGACGGTGAAGACGCACACGGCCAAGGCCATGCTCAGCGCACACGTGGAAGCAGGAGATACGTACGGAAAAGGAAGTCCAACCTTTGGCTCCTTTCATGCCCTAGGAGAACAAAAACATGGGTCACATGAGATACACACTGGTAGTCAGAATGGGCACTTATCATTATTCTCAGAAAGCAACGACATTTATGGCCTCTTCTATTAGAGGGAGAGAAATCCAGGTGGGATACTCAGCACCTAATTAACAGGAACATTGGAAGAAGAGCAAGCACACCAGCTTCCAAAGGCCACGTTCCTCCGGCTCCAATTCTGCATGGAGACGTGACACTCACACAGAGCTCTGCACCCGGCCTAGGACTCCAGACCAGGTCAGCGTGGACCGTCCTTTTGTGCTGGTCCCTTCTCCTCAGAGACCAGGCCTGCCTCAGTCCCAGCACTTTTCAGCTTGGACACCAAACCGCAGCCAGAGCTGAACTGAAATCTGTTCCCTTCATTGCTTTGAGACAAAAGATCAAGGCTTAAATCACCCATCTGAAGAGGCAACATGTATGCATGTGCATATACGTACAGATGTGTGTATGCATGTGGAGACATGCAGACGTGAGTTTATGTACACACATGGAGGGGCAGCTGTGGGTAGTTTCCAATATGACAGGTCATAACAACAACAGCCTGTGTGTGTGTGTGTGTGTAATGTGTATAATGTGTATATACATGTGTGTGTATATATATATAAAGTTTGTATATGCATGGAAGAGTATATATAATTGTGTGTGTGTATCATATCTCTATATATCATTTCTCTATGTATACCTTGGATATAAAAGATGAAGGTGGGCTTGATTTTCACCTCAAACATACCTTTGGACCAATAAGAATCTAACTATTAAGAAAAAACACAACAGAGATGCACTTCCTTTGCCCTCCACCCCCGAAGAAAATCCATCCTGTGCAGATGCACCTTTTGATAATACACTTTCCTTTCACCGTCATCATTGAGAGGTCGTGTGTTGAATGGAGCAGAGAGCAGAGACTGGACATAAGAATAGAGTTTTTCAAAAATCCAGAAATCTCATTTTCAACTGTTAATTTTCTCTCTGTTCTCTCAGCTTCCAAGAGATGACAACTGATTTTCAGTTGCATCTTTCCTCCTCTTTCTGACCACACACAAAATGGAAAAAATACAGAAACAAGTGGCTAAACAGTAGAGCCAGAAATCACGTACGGTCGGGCATGGAGGCTGCCCGCACTGGCTTTCCAGGGGAACATGACTTGGTATGGTTTGTGGGTTTCTGCGTACCTTGCGCCCTGGTGGTCCTGGATCCCCAGGGGTTCCCGGCTCTCCTGGAAAGCTAGCAGATACCTAAAAATAGAATGAATTTATTTTGAAATTACTTTAATCCACATATATGTGTCTGTGTTTGTACGTCTTAGATACAAAGACATACATCTTTATTTTAGAAAAGAGATTTCCAAAGAGCATATAGAACAAAGAAACTTCCCAGCAATCTCTTCTCTTTCAAGTAATTCCTGTTAACATTTTGATGTCTTCTCCTTTCATCTTTATTACTTATTTTTTTGGTGTTATACCACTGTTGTTGTTGTTGATTGCCATTGAGTTGAGCACGACTCACAGTGACCCTATGAACAAAAGACCTGAGCCTTTCTATAACTATCATCGTTTCTCAAAGTTCTTAGTTTCCAGAGGCATGGTGTTTAGGAAGTGGATGCCACTCCTGCTTCCAAGTTATCCCATACTCACTGCCAATTCACGGCTCATTCACTGGATTCCCAAGACTGTAAATCACATGAGAAGAGATTGCCCGTCTTTCTTCCATGGACCCACTGGTGGGTTTGAACCATGAGAGTGGAACAGCCTTTGGGTTTGCAGTGCAATGGACTATAGCCTATGCCACAGAGTGCATATATTTTGGCATTAAAGATTTATTCATTTTTAACTTACTTGTATTATATATATATATAGCCTTTTAACTTAACATAAATATTATAGACACCTTTATGTTACTAATTGTTACCAAAATATTTTTTTCATGGCTTGTATAGTATAGCCTTCAATATAGGTTATAATCTTAACATCCAAGGGAAACAAAAATCCTCACCATCTGAACAACAGGCAAATGACCACCATGATAGGTGGAGAAAGATTGAAGTTGCCAAAATAATCACTTTCCTAGAATCCACAATCAACATAACCACAATGAACCAAAGATACATAAGCAGGAGAGGATAACGTCAATGAATGGGACCTAAATATCAAGTCTCTGTGCGCACGGAAAGCTTCCCCAATAGGGTGAGAAGAAAGCCTGGGGAAAAGCATTTGGAAGTGACAGAACATAAGAAAAGTTTATGGAATACTGCAGAGCCTATACAAGAAAAAGACTGAAAACCAAAAAAACAAAGTGGGCAAAATATGTGAAAAGACTCTTCACAAAGGAGGACATTTATTAATCAGAACTGGCTTTGCACTGTGGCAATGGGACAATTAAAACAGACTTTTAAGGGGGAAAAAAAGAGGAACAAATGGGGGTGTGTGTAGAGAAAATAGTGCAACAATGGATGAATGGAAATCCAAAATCTCTGTAAATGTTCATTAAAATTAATAAACTTTAATAAAAGTTTAGAAAAAAAGGAGGACATTTGTACTGATGCTCAAAATCACTGGCAATTAGAGAGATGCAAATCAAAACCACAATGAGATAGCATCTTACTCTGGTAGCAAAGTTTAACAGGATGGCAAGAAATACATCTTGGCGAAGATGTGGGGAGATTGGAACTCTTACACACTGCGGGTGAGATTGTAAAATGGTAGAATCAGTCTGGAGGGAAGTGTGGTGTTTGTTAAAAAAGCTGAACAGAGAGATTCCCATATGACCCAGCTATTCCATTGCTAGGAACATACCCCAAGGAAAACAGAACTGAGATATGAACGGAGATATGAACACTGATGTTCACAGCAGCATTATTCACAATAGCAAGAAAATGGGAACAGCACAATACTCATCAATAGAGTGAATTGAGAAATTGGGGTTAATACACATAATGGAATACTATGCAGCACTAAGGAATAAGGATTTCATAAAATAGTAAATAACATGTAAGACTAGAGAGCATTATGCTGAATAAACTCAGTCTCGTAAGGATGAATACTGCACAAGACCATTATTGTAAAAATACAGGATAACAGAGTAAGATGTGCCTAAATGTTCGATAGGGGAAGGGGGATGAAGGAAAAGGAAGGAGAAGGGGGAGGGGGAGGGGAAGGTGGAAATCACTAGGATGACGAAGCTTAGTGGGCAGATCGAGGGGCAAAGGACTAGGCAAGTTCCAGTGGGAACTTGGAAAGATGGAGTAATAATAGGCATAGATCAATAGAGATTGATTAAACAAAATAAAATGTATGTGAATGATTGCATGAAACACTGTAAAGACTGTAAAACACAATGTGTGCCAATAAAACATGAAGTATGCGAATTATTGTAAGCAAACCAATAATAATAGTAAAAAGAAACAGAAGTGTTGCCTTGAGGAAATCTGCGGTCAAGGACCTCTCCAAAGTGCTAAAGAGCAATGACGTCCATTCAAGAACTAAGGTGCACCTGATTCAAGCCCTGGTCTTTTCCATGACTTCGTAGGCATCTGAAAGTTGACCCATGAATGAAGGGGACAGCAGGAGCATTGGTCCCTGTGAGCTTGGTGCTGGAGGAGAGTGCTGGCATCCCAAGGACTGCAGGAGAACAACCACATCTTGGAGGAAGTGTAACCAGGGCGATCGTTAGAGGCAAACCCGGTGACATTTCATCTTCTGTACGTCAGCTGTGTTCTCAGGAGGCACCAGCTCTTGGAAAAGGACATCATGGGGAAGGGGGAGGGGCAGAGAAAGAGAGGAGGACCCCCTCCAGGATGGATTGGCACAGGGAGGGTAACCACAGGCTGCATCATACTAGAGAGGTGAGGCTCGAGCCGGACGGGCAGGGGTCAGATCTGCTGTTGACACTAGGAGTCGTATGTTGTTGGCCCCGTGTTTGGAGACACCTTGGTTTTACCCCACATCACCCTTGTCATCCCTGATATACTTCTGCCTGTTGCTATAGGCACGTGTCAATCCATCTGGTTGAAGTCTTCCTTTCATTCACTGACCTTTCATCTCACCCAGCACAGTATCTTTCCACAAGATTTTGGAGTAGAAACCCCAATTCTCAGCACGGGGCCAAACCAGAATAAATCAGTTCAAAGTCTTGGTTCAAAGATAAACTCTCTCATTATCAAGCCAAGGGAAAGGAAAGAGAGATATTTCAATGTAGTTGACATCTGGATTAATTTGAAAGTCTTTTCCAATTATTTTTCTAATTCTATCAGTCTTCTTCTTTTTTCTTTTTTCGGACCTCATGAAGGATAGGCATCCAAAGGCTTGTGTGAGGGGAAGAAGTTTAGCTGGACAGCAATTCTCCCCAGGAGAAGGAGGAAGAAGCTGAAGAGGAGAGTCTGCATTTTATTCTGTGTAACTCTCACCCCTAAACCCCACATAAATAATGTTTACACACAGTCCTTATTACACTTCGTTGTTGTTAAGTGCTGTCAAGTATAACTCATGAAGACCCCATGGACAGCAGAGGTGGGCCATGTCCTCGCCTGTGCCATCTTTCTTGTTGTTGCTGTGTGCCGCTGGGTCAGAACCGACTCACAGCTGACCATCCAGTGTATTTTCAGAGACAGTAAATTGCACTGGAGGAGATTTGCCATTCTGATCAACTCTGATCTATTGATCCCAATGGTGCAGACACTGCATGACCATGTTACAGTCACCGTGTCAACCCATCTCACTGAGGGTCTTCCTCTCCTTCACTGACCCTCCACCTTTCCAAGCATGATGTTCTTCTCCAAGGAATAGCCTCCCTTGACAACATGTTACAGTGTTTATGGGGGAAAAAATCCCAGGTAGATCTTAATGATGATGACAAACCTGAAAAACCACCTCCAGCATAACTTTTTATCAGACTTCCCTCGCCCCTGCTCACTGCCATCTTACTGTCCTGGAAATAATTGTTGAATATGTCGTTCTGAAGAAACAGGAAATGTCTTGAGAGACAGTGATGGAAGCGTGACCTTGTTAATAAGACAGCCATCTCATCTGCACATGGCCTGAGACATACAAAGTCAGCAGATGCAGGTGATCTGTTCTTCACCCACTGACCCCACGGCACAGCCGGGATGTGGATGCCGGTCGATGATGCACCAGGCAGTCCCCTCTGTGCGACGACGGCGACTAAATTGATCACATGATAAATGGGAAGACCCTTCCAAAGCTCACGAGGTGCCTTCTGGAGCTAAGCTGGGAGAGGACCTGCCAGCGTCATCTGATTAAAAGAAGCTATAGGAAACCTTCGTTGGAAAGATGAGTTGCACTAAACCAAATGGGCAGATGGGGTTGAACAGATTATTTTTTAAATTTTATTTTACTATTTTTTTTGTGTGTGTATGTACTGTCAAATTGGATCTGACTGGTACGGAAGACTGCCCCCTTCTCCAGCAGAGCATCTGGTAGATTCAAACCATGCTCCTCTGGGATGGCAGTGCAGCTTCTTGCCACTAGGCCACCAGAGCTTCCTTGAACTTATGTATTTTGCAATGTGCAATCTGCTTTGCTCCAAAAGGGCCCTGAATTCATACTCACTGCTCTTGAGTTGGCTCCGTCTCACAGCTGACCCTCTGCTGGGTTTCCGAGGTTGTATATCAGGAGCGGACTGTCCATCTTTGTCCCATGAAGCCACAGTGGACTGCCACCAGACATGCGAGGGCTTCAAGTTAGCAGCTCTGCTGGCTAAGTACCAGGGGGTTCAGTGGTGCTTTGTCTGTAGAAGCTGAATTTAGGGCTATGGCCCTGAAATACTAATTCAAGGTGTAGATCTAGAACTGAAGGCAGAAATGCTAACAGAAACCTGACTCAAAGCTCCTTAGAGCTCTCTTCACAGTAGCTGAAAGGTGGAAGCTGTGAAAATTTCCATCAGCATATCAGTACCTGAGCCAATGTGGTCTAGACACACAGTAGGGGGTCCCTCATCCCCTCAGGAGCTCTCCTGGTGTATGTAGTAGGGAGCTCTGAGGGTTTAGTGGCAAGGAACAGTCTTAGCGGGATGGCCAGTTCCCTCCTCTCTGTTTCCTGGGAACCCACTGGAGGGTCAGCTCCAGGTTGGTTCCAATCTGACGGTGCACAACCCCGGCAGCCACAGTGGTGTACTGGGTGATGTGCTCTGCTGCTGACCAAAAGGTCTGTGGTCTGAATCCACCAGCTGCCCCACAGGAGAAAGACAAGGCAAGTCTGGTCTGGTTCAGAGCTCCAGCTTTGGGACCCTGGTGGAGGGTCGCTGTGAGGTCAGCTGACCAGATGGTGGGGCCCTGCTATTGGTTTTCTGTAAAGAGAAAGAAGTCCTGAAGCAGGCCATACCATGATGTGATGGAAGTCAGTCACAAAAGAGAAAAAGACTCTGGCTGCTCTCATATGACATGAGCAAAACATAGAATTCAGTGTCCTTCCACTGTCCATTTCCTTCCACTGTCTGTGTCCTTCCACTGTCCATGTCTTTCCACTGTCTGTGGAGCTGTTCAGAGAAGAAGAGAAAGACCCTGCAAAGACAGCCGCGCCGTAGCTACCACAGGGCGCTCGGGCAGGATGCGGGGGCTCGAGGTTGGTGCAGGAAAGGACAAGGTTCACATCCGTTCTCTATAGGTTGCTGTGAGTCACTGTCAACACCACCCAAGGATCCTGACAACAGAAATCTAGGGTTACTAGTGGTGGTCTAGGGTGGAGAGGAGCGAGAAGGAGATAGTGCGCTGAGGGTAGTGCCTTTCTATTAACGCTGGTGGAAGTGGAAAAATTAAAAAAAACACAGTGATAATGTACACACAATAGGAAAAATGCAGCAATCAGTTTCTCCAGATTATACATTTAGAAGTATCAAATTGACATTTTTATGTCTGTATTTTTACCACAAAGCAAAGCAAACAGACAAAGGAATTGTCTTTTGGCAGCTACAATGGGGGAAATAGTTTAATGAAGGGCTTTACCGCCCTCTTGCTGGACCTAGGGGGTAAACAATGAGGGTACAGGCACCTATGCCTAGGTTGTCTTCTTAACACAATACACCACATCTAGAAGCCTTTGGGAGCTGTATCTAAGAAGCTTACCGTATTGCCTCTAACTCCCTTGGGTCCAACTTCTCCTGGGTCTCCAGGGTCCCCAATTTCACCCTAAATCAGTTCAGAAAAATAAGATCAAATGATTATTATAATCAAAGCAATGAGCCTCGGTGTGTGTCTGAAGCCCCACTCCAACACCATGGAACACTGACACGTCTCTCTGTCTCGGGCAGCCTCCTTGGAAATGTCCCCTTTGTTTCTGTTTGCATTTTCTGAGCTTTCTGCTACTGAGCACCCCACATTCTCCTCACCTTGCTTCCCGAACTCTCACAGGCTCACAGGCTCCGTGGAGACTCGCTGAGCCTTCTCACTTGCCTAGTCCAGGCCCTGGCTCAGGAGTTCAAACCTGGTAGTGGACGCCCTTGCTAGGGTTTTATCTATAGGCTACAAACACTGCAAAAATGAGCCAAACCAAATCACATGTTTGTTCTTCTGCATATCTTTCTTCTGAACAAAGAAGAAAATATATAGGGGAAATATACGTTGGAATAGAAAATTTACATATGCTTAATTGTTATGCACTGAGTCAGAACTGACTCACAGCTGACCCTCCAGCACACTTTCCGAGGCTGGAAATCACAAGAGAGATTGCCTGTCTTTTCCCCTTGGATCACCTGGTGGATTTGAACCACCTGTCTTGGGATTGGCAGCACAACTCCGTATCCACTAGGTCACCAGAGCTCATATCTATCTAACTATATATTGTGTTATCTACGAATTAAAAATGAAAGTTTGTTTTTATAAAAAACTCATATGCTTGTATATGAAGGCATAATCTTAAAACAGCCTGCATATTTCTTTCCTCCTTTCCCTGAAAGTAGAATATTTCTCGTTTCTCTTATGGTTTAGCGGTAAGGAGTTGCACTGTCAACACAAAGGCATGGGGTTTGAGTCCACCAGCTCCACCACAGAAGAAAGGGTTCTGAAAGCCTTCCGGAGGGTCAGCCACGGGCTGGCTCCGATGCCACGGTGCACACCAGCAAGTCCTTCTACGGCTCTAGGAACATTTCAGAACCTCAGGCTGTAAGTCGTGAAGCTTTCCTGGTTGATCTCAGATTCACACGCAGTTCACTGTACCTTGGGCCCACTTTCTCCAGGGAAGCCTTCTTGGCCCTGTGGTGAACAACAGAAAAGATGAGCATCTCACACACTTCACCCAGGTATGCTCACAGGGCTTTTTCTTCTACCTGATGGCTTGTTTTAGTCTGAGTGTTTCTGATCCAAGAGTATGCCAGACAGTTGGAACCTAGAAACTGTATCACACTGCCTGAGAAACAAACTCAAATTTCAAAGTTAAACTATTTGCCCATGTCATCAAAATAGCGTGACCTCCTAAGATCCATCACGGTCTGGACATGTCCAAGCAGCGGCTGTCAGCCCTCTGTGTCCTGCAGGCCCATCACAGGTCCGGTGGGAGGTCGCTGGGCCCCATGCTTCTGAAACAGCCTTCCTGAATGCATTTCAGTGAGACGTCTGGACGTGTCATAGTCGGCTCACCACCCGACTGTCAGTTTGTGACACTTAGTGATCCCACTGGCATTTCAAATCTTAGCATGGCCATCCATGATGGCCAGGTCTCAGTGGAGTATCCAGAACAAGACAGACTTGAAGAGAGGGCTGACCACCCATTTCCAGCCAGCAGCCAATGGGAAGATGATGGGTCCCGGAAGGACAGGGTCTTCCCCACTGGTGTGGACATGCCGTTGTGGGGGGATCGGTGGCTGGAGAAGGGCAGCGTGTTTCACATGCTGTAGATGCAGAGGGTCACAGAGGATGAGGTGGGTGGACACAACAGCAGCAGTGGGAGGGCTGGGTCTGTCAGGCTTCCTCTGACACCCGCACGTCCCCTTGACTCCCGGCGATGGCCGTGACCCAGTGAACCAGCTAGGCGGAACTTGTCCATTCATTTTATGGACCTCTGGTTACTTAAATCTGGTCAAATGCTATAGTTGAAAAGGTAGGCGTGATAATGAATATCTTCTTAGTAAAATAAAGAGATTTATTTAATATGATGTTCATTATTTTTTTGTTATTATTCTCAAACACACATAACATGAAAAGAATAGGCAGGAGGAACATCAAACAGCTGCTACCTCTCAGAATTGATAGTGACACATTTTCTGTCATATTTTCTTCTAGGTTTTAAAAATGCGTGTTTGCATAATGGGGATAAGTGCATTTATAATGATATCCTGATTTTTAAAATCTGGCATTTTTTCATAGAATTACTTTATAGAATTCAAACTTCTCATATGCATTCCATTATGCATGTTAGCATAACGGGGATAAGTGTGTTTCTAATGATATCCTGATTTTTAAAAATCTGGCATTTTTTTCATAGAATTACTTCATCAAATCCGAACTTCTTATATACATTCCATTTAAAGGATTTCTAGTTTCCTAGTCTGTAGGCTTGGAAAAAAGATATCTCCTATCATGGAATAATGAAATTCTTTTCTATTATTTCCTTTTTTTTTTTACCATTTCAAAAGACAGTTCTGATTCATTAGTTTTCTTTTTCAAAGAAGAGGAACTTTCTTTGTTGCTTACTTTTCCTGGCATCATTTCAACTGGGATTCCATTTAAGATTCCATTGATTCTTCACATAATGTTTTCGACTTGCCAAGAAGAACTTGGGTTGCCTCTCCCTTTATTCAAGTTTTCATTTATATATCTCAGCAAATCATGATTGAAGGTCTCACATATTTTTCAGATAGTCTTAACTATGTAATACTTATGCTATAATCATTAGCTTTTTAGAAAGTATAGTTTCCAAGTGGTTATTGTTGGTCTGTAGAAATCACTGGGTTTAGTAAATTTATCCTAAACCCAGAAACATCACTAACAATATGAAAGTATCTTTCCGATGTCAAGTTAAAAGGTTTTATTCTCAGTTACCACTTGGCCCAAAGCACTTTGGCACAGCTTGCAAAGCGTCTCTGCAAGGGTTTGACCAAGCATATTACGGGCAGGGGACACAATTTGGAGCGGCTCCCTGGTGAACTCAGCCATGTAGCAGCCAAGCTCAAATGTGCCGCTCAGGCTGAACCTTGGCAGGCCCGGGCCACACACCTCTGCAAAAGACACAAGATCCACTTCAAGTCTGGATTGTAGGCAGCTCCTCAAACCAACTATTCTCTCCTGTATCACTTTAACCATGTACCACAATAAACTCACAAAGTAGACTTCTAAAGGTCTAAAATGGTCTTCTGCCTCCTCTTCCTTCTTCTTGACCTCTTAAATGCAGTAAACAAGCAACAATGAGAACCACACCGTAACAAATGGAAAGTGTACAGTTTCCAGAAGATACAACTCACCTTTGCACCTTTCGTCCCAGCTCGACCGTAACCTGGAACGCCATCACCGCCCTAAAAACAGAGCCAGTAATCAACATCCCAAACCAGAGACCAAGGCAGCAGGCCAGATGGCCAGATTGTGGTGTGAGTACAGAGAATTCAAAGTGGAGCCCTCTTGCTGGGACACACCACCCACATTCTCTGATAGTCATGCCAAAAGCAACTGTCAGGGAGAGATTAGACAGGACTGTCACCTAAGTTTTATCTGCCACATGGAAACAATACTTACTTATATCATTTTTATCATGATTACATGAGATGATTCCAGGTGTATATAGCAATTTGACAGTAAAAGGAACTGGTGGTATTATTTCTTATGGATAACACATGAATTTCCTACCTTAGCTCTAATCCATTAATATCTAATCAAGTCACTAGACTACAAACCCTGATTGAACGAAGGTGCTCTTGAGAGGCAAAGATAGAGAAAGTTTGTCCCATATTCTCTGGACACGCTGTCAGGGAGGGCCAGTCCTTGGAAAAAGACATCATCCTGGGAAAGGAGGAGGGTCAGTGAGCAGAAGACCCTCAACAAGATGGATTGATAAAGCATATCAGAGGTGGTGGGGACGGCACAGGCTGGGCAGGGTTCAGGTCTGTGTTCACAGGGTCACCACGGGTTGTAGTTGAATTGATGACACCTAACAACAACAATCACCACAATAACAGAACAGATTTAAAACAAATAGACGAAAACCCAAGTCCACTCCACGGGGTCCATTCCCACTCATGAGGTCCTCCAGAGGGTTCCTGAGGCTATAAATACTAACTGAAGCCGACTCTCTCACGGAGCAGCGGGTAGACTCATTCAAAGAGCCAATTCTTCAGTTGGTAGCCCAACACATAACACAGTATGCCACAGGGCTAGTTAAACATATCTTCTTCAATGTCTGGGCATCGGTCATGGTGTGACCCTTGTCGGAGGCCTCGGGGAGCATTTGATTCTGAGCACTGGTAGCAGGATGGGTCTCTCTGAGGAGAGTCTGATGGGAGGAAAGGCTGGAAGAAAGGCATTGAGATGCCAAAGGCTGGCTGTGCCCTTTTCACAGTTTCAAGAGCATCTCACGCTGTTCACTACCTGTAAGTAACCCCCTTGGGGAAGGCAGGCCACTGCCCAAGAACTGAAGCTCAGGATAATAGAACATCTCTCTTCAGTTCTAGAAAATCATACGGCTGAATGGAGTGGTGTCCTCAGGCCTCTTGCCAGGGAACCACCCCAGAAATCTACTGAGTCCCAGGGCCCGTCAAATAGTGACAAAATGCAAACCTGCATGCCCCGAGGACCGGGGAAGCCAGCATCTCCTTTCCCGCCCGGGTCTCCAGGTTCTCCCTGTGAAGAGGGACAAGATACGTCTACATGAGGGTGTTCTCAGAGTGTAAACCAGACACCGTCAACCGCATCTGCATGCATCACACAAAACAATACGGGGTTGTTGTCCTCAGGCTGCAGGCGGGGCGGCCACACCAGGGGAGCTGCTGCTCGTGGGGTCTCAGTGGACAGGCCACCTCAGTGAGGTGGGGTGACTGTAACACACACGGCCACCTCAGCAGCCTGGGGACCCGAACCCCACTCCCGGGCTCAAGGAGGAAGCACTGTCCTGTGGAAGAAAAATGGAGCTGTGCCTCATGGCCATCCATGGAAACCATCTGGCTGCTGAAAGACAGCAGATTTATTCATCAAGTGAAGGTCTGTGAATCAACTTCCTCAAAGGAGTCCAACCCCTCGGCAGCAGGGTGACTTGTGATTAGAGGGGCATTTACTGTGGGCACCAGGTCAACCTCAGTGTACGTGTAAGAGTTCCAACTTTGCAGGGAAAAGGAATGAAGGTTTACACAGGAAGGCTAGCCCCATCCTCCTTTAGAAAACACACACACACACACACTCTCTCTCTCTCTCTCTTCATTTTGGAGTTAGTTTTAGATATACAGAAAAGGCAGTTGCTAGAGTTCCCATATACCCCTTGCCTTCCTGGAAACCTGAGTAAGCAAGGGGTACACATCTGGGGTCATTACAGTTATGGGGTCCTTCTTGAAGCTGCCCAGAGCTGGAGCTGGCTTTTGGATACTTCCTTCCTCCATTTTTGTCCTTCTGTTTAAAAATTCCTTTCATTAATAATGACCTTCCCCTAACACAAATTTCATATTCAAATTTCTACACTATTTAAAATCTTCTAAAAATTTGACTATGTTAATATATGTTGTTGTTGTTGGTTGCTGTCAAGTTGAGGTCAACTCATAGTGACTCTATGAACAAAAGACCTAATGCCTTTCCATAGCTATGTTAATATAAAAAATTCAAATAACACTGTATTGGTTGCTGAACAAAGTCAGTTGCATTAATTTTCTTGTTCTTTATAAGCCATCCAAATAGAATTATTTTTTTCAAGTGCTGCCACCCAGGGTTTTCCAAATTTGTATTTTCTTAACACATTATTTTTCCTACCCAGAATTCCTCATACATTTTACATGGCTCATTGTCTAAAGCCTCCAGTCACAATCTATTTCCTCAGTGATGTTTCTTCCTCTAACTCTATGATATCACTTTAAGTCTTCCTTTCAGTCTACTACATACAGTGTAGGGAGTGCTGGTGGCTTAGTGGTTAGGACGTGTACTGCTAGCCCAAAGGAATGCAGTTCAAATCCACCAAGTGTTCTCCTCTCACATGATTAACTGCCTCTGAAAACACCCTGGAGGGTCAGACATGGATCGGTTCTGACTCGATGATACTTAACAACAATATATAATAGAGTTGTATTATATGTAATAACACAATAATAAAAAATATTATATAGAATAGCAATAATACAGCAGTCAAGAAATTTGAAAAATGTGTTGCACTGGGAAAATCTGCTGTAAAGCACCTCTCCACAGTGCTGGCAAAGATGTCAAAGATTATTATGTGTCTGATGCAAGTCATAGGCTTTTTAATTTGACTCGGTGACTTCGGCAATAGGCTTGAGTGTTTTGGAGACAGTGTGGATGGCACAGGACAGGACCAAGCATATGTTCATAGGGTCATTGTGAGTTGTACTCGACTTGATGCCACCTGACAACAACAACAAATACCTGATGTGGAGCTTTAGTCTAAAGGTGTTCTAAGCAAGGGTCGATAAGAATGGAGGAAAGAAGAGAGGCAGGAAAAGATAGAAGAGGGAAGAAAGGAAATGCAGGAGAGAAAGGGAAGAACAGTCCCCTTTCCTAGAGGCTTTTGGTTCATGTTGGGTGTAGCCCCTCATGAGGTTCTGCTGAACTGGAATCCCTGACTTCATCCTGGTCCACAGCCAGGTCCTTAGAAGCAGTTGGCTCTCGAAGAATGGGGTCATGGAGTAGGGGCAATGGATGGTTCTGCTGAAAGGACACTGGCTTATGGCAGCAGGCACACTTCTCTTTGGCAGAAAAGCTTCAACATTAGCAGGTGTGAGGAAGGTGACCTACTTTCTTTCCTTGGCTTCCGGAACGGCCTGGACTCCCCTCCTGTCCTGCGGGTCCTGGAGGTCCCTGAAACAAAGCAAGAATTCCAAATACAGCACAACACGGAGCAACTTTTCTCTGAATGCTTTGTGTCCGTCCTAAGAGGAAAATGAAGTGCAGATGCAAAAAGAGCTAGGGCAGGACTGATTCCTGCTCTGGAAAAAAGCACCCTAACTTCTATATAAAGACTAGCGAACAGAAGAACATGAACACGGTAATTCGTGCCAGATGTTGTGGAGATGCCATGTTCCTAGGGAGTTTTCTCTTCCAGAGAAATTCCCGTTTCTCACTGGTTTGCTGTTAGGGGCAGATGGGACCTAACCATCTAACATTTGATGAAGACATTAGATATGTCATTTGCTTTAAGCTTTCTTCTTGTTTTGAAAATAAGATTATTCTGTTCTCTCCCTCTCATTGTCATGAAGTTGGAGCCAACCTGCAGTAGACCCTCCGGTAGGTTTTCAGAGGCTGTAAAATTGCACAGGAAAAGACTGCCCATCTTTCACCCACAGAGAAACTGGTGGATTCAAACTGTTTCCTTTGGAATAGCAGCTCAATTATTTATCCACCATGGCACCAGAACTCCTTATTTTTGTATTAGAAAGCTCAAAATCTTTACTAAAAAAATAAGCATTTATAACAAAAGTTGGCCAAGGTGGTAGAAGATAAATATTCAGAAATAACGTATGCCCTAGCAAACATAAAAAAAGAAATGTAAATAAATTCCCCATTGCTAGTAAGAGAAAAGTTTAAAATACTAAGAATGAATTTCATAATAAGAAAGCTGGTAGAAGCTTACAGAATAAAATAACAAAAGGTAAGCAAATGGATGAATATGCTGTATCTTTGCATAAAAATACATTCGCTATAATAAAATACATCCCTCACAACATTTTAGAAGGTACATTATGTTGGATCAGTCTCAGACATGAACGCTTTAAAATCCCAGTTCAGAGAAACCCTCATGCCGTGCTAGACACAAGCACTGAGCTCAGACTTGTCCTTTGCGAGCCGGGCTCTGAGAAACACAAATCTCTTTGTTAAACAGGTCCTTGTGAGTCACTTCAACACCAGTGGGTTGAGTTAATTTTCACAGAGTTTTGTCATGGTTGTTATAATTTAAAAGTAAGTAAACCAACTTTGTGTAATAAGAATGATGCTTAGCAAATTGATAGTTTTGAAAGCAGGAGTGTCATCCACTTCCTAAACAACAAGCCTCTGGAAACTCTATGAACTTTGATAAATGTTGATAGTTGTAGAAGGGCTTCAGGCCTTTTGTTCATAGGGTTATTATGAGTTGTGCTTGACTCGAAGGCAATCAACAGCAACAACAACTAAAAAATGTTAACATTAAACTTTAAATCTTAAAAATAAATTAAAGATGCCATAATTTGTATATAGCACATCTCCTCTGGAAAGGATCATTGAACAATGAATTGATTACTAAGCAGTTAATAATGATCTTCACACAATGGCTCGTTTCTCCTGCCTCCCTTCTTTGTCTTAAAAGAGAATTCCAAGATTCTTCACTCTCACAGCTCTTGAACCTATTTCCTAGCTTTTTTCCTAACACTGGGTGAATCTATCTCCAAATGGCCTTGTCAACCAGTTGATATTTTTGCTTTTACTTGGCTTTCATTAGATACTCATCAAATTAATTTTCCCATTAACTTCTGTCACATCGAGTTAACCACCGAGTTCCAGGTACTCTGACTTTTTCTCTGTAACCTTCAGCATGTCTCCTTCTCCCTTCTGCCTCTTAAATTTCCACGCACCACAAAGTGAGAAAAGTCTGACCTTGATTTTCTCACTCCATCTCCCTTTCCTGAGTGAGAGCTCCACGGATTCCTGTATACGTCTACACACGAACTTAGAAATCGACTCACTGCTGGTCCAACGCCATCGGAGCCCAGCGAGCACAGGGAGATAGCACCTGGCCAACAGAAAGTTGCCTATCAAACCACCAGCTGCTCTATCAGAGAGAGACGTGTCAGTGGCGCTGTCAAAGATTTTCCATCTTGGCACAGTTTTACTCTGCCCAGTGTGGGTCATTGCGATTTGGACTGAAACCGAAGGCAGTAAGATTTGGAGTAATTCCAGGCATTCGGTTGGAAGCCAAATCCATATATTACAATGCCTACTAGATATCCCATAGGAATTAATTGTAAAAACCCTCCATTTTTCACCTGAACTGTATTTTTAGCCTCATATTCTGTTCCTCATGGAACACCACCATTTATTCCTGAAACCCAAGGCAGAAGCCTCTGAATCATCCTGACTCCTCCCTCTAGCTCACACTGAAAATATTGAAATTAAAATAGTCCCTATAGTTCTCAGCTGAATTAAACTCAGGTTTCTATGGTTCTCAGCTAAGTTAAACTCAGGAATTTTCCCATTGTCTCGAGTAAAGCCCCACACCCATGTATCCAGGGCAACAGTATTTCAAGAATGGCTAGCAGAAGGGCAGAGCAAACAAGCAGAAGTTGTTTCTCAACTGATAACCCATGTGCCTTTGTTTCCCGACTGATAACCAATGTATCTTGTGCTTTTCCACTGCTCTAGAGTTTGAACTCATTGTATACTTAAGAATTTGTGACACCACCCTATAGTTAAAGATCTATCTAACTGCTACATGTGCTACGTGACTGCCGCAAGTGCTACGGGCAAAAATGCTGTGTAAACCCTGAGCGAACACTGAACCAATGAATTCAAACTGTATTTTCATCACCCAATGAGAAGCTGATACCCAGTTGTATCCCCCTAAAGTGTATAAAAAAACCCAACTTTGTCTGCTCGCGGTTGGCTCCTTTATCTCTTGCCAGAGATAAGAGTCGGCCTGGAGCTCCGCAATAAACCTCTTATCTCTTGCTGTTGCATCAAGCCGGTGTCTTGGAGTCTTGGGTCTTCGCCGTCCACTCGGGACAGAAAAGGACCAGCGGTTCGGGGGTCCTTCAACACTTCAAAGCCAGTCAGTTACAAATCTCACAGATGCTGGTGTCTTCCTGCGTCCATCTCGTCTCCCATTCCCATTGCTACCACCTATTTTCAAAAAACTATGGGAAGTCAAATTTCATACTAAATATTTGTAATAAACCAAATGCTAGTTCAGGGTATGAGGGAGGCTGATACAAGCTGGAATTTACCCTGAAACACTAACGCAATCCTTAAATGTTTATGGGGTAGACACTAACATTTTATAAGATTCTTGCATTGTATTTGCTAACCCCTCCCTCCTGGGTCAAGCAGAGGATTTCAATAGAAAGAGCTTAGCTTCATTTGCATTGAATTCTCTTGGTGATTTGCTCCCGGGCAATTTTCAATAAAGGCCCAGGGATGGTAAGGTAAGTTCAGTGCTTCAGTTTGCTTCAGTTGAGAACTGTTGGCCTCCTGCTTCACTTCTTGTTTTCTCCTACATTTCTGGTGTTCTGTCTCATTGTTAACACTTATTAATATACTTTACCCTTGGTCTGCAGCAGAAACCAACAGCAGCAAGTTGATGGCCTGCACAGCCTCAAGTTCTTGCTCTCCCATGCCAACATCGAAAACCAAGCAGAAATGATCAGAACCAACCTTTTCAGGACTTGGAAACAGTAAAGTTTAACAGTAACTGAATGCTGAGTGAAGGAAGAAAAATCTCTGAAACTATGAAAAACCCAATTTCTATTTATTAAAAAAAAATTAAAAAGAATCATGAATATAAACACAGCCAAGGATTTAACCTCTATTGTGTCGATGGTAAGAAGATGTTGAGAACTTATTAAAATGCTTTTAAGAGAAAAATTAAAAAGCAACTTAACATTGTAGAAAAAAGCAAATAACCAATGGGTCAAAGAAGAAACCATGAAACAGATTAGAAAATACTTAGGAATGAAGGAAAATGAAAGTAATATATTAAAACCTATTGGATGTGATAAAGGCATTGCTAAGAGGGAACATTATGTCTGTAAATTACAAGAAGAAAGATGTCATCCATAGCTGAGCGTTACATCTCGAGATGTTCAGATTTAAGTAGACCAAACTAACTCAAAGAAACTATCAGGAAGGAAGTTAGGCTGAAGATGAGAGCAGAAATATGCAAAATACAAAACAGAAACAACAGCAAGACCAAAAGTTAGTTCATTGTGAAGGTCAATAAACTAGACAAAGCCTTTGCTAGAATGACAAAAGAAAAATAAAGATGATGCAAATAACTGAAATCAGAAATGAAATTACCACTAATCTTAAGGAAGAAGAAAAGGATCACAGGCACAATTATGTGTTAATAAAACAGAAAACCCACATGAAATGGACAAATCCCTAGAAACTTGCAAATGATCTAAACTGGACAGACTATTGAATGACCCAGAAAGCATTAAAAGGTGATGGAGAAAGTAGACAGAGTCACTGGACCACAAAGAATTGTCTGACACAGAAGTTAATGAAACATCTGCTTAAAAGGAAATAGAAGGAGGGATAAAAGGCTCTGAAGGAATTGGCAAAAAACAGGGCCCCAGGAATCGGCAGACCAATTGACATATTTCAGCAAACAGATGCTGCCCAGAACACGCTCACAGGTTCTACCAAGAAATCTGGAGGAAAACTAGCTGGCCAACTGACTGGAAGAGATTAATATCTGTTTACGTTAAAAAAAAAAAAGGTGATCCAAAAGAGCATGGAAATTATTGAACAGTACCACTAATATTATATACAAGCAAAATCTTGCTGAAGATTGTCCAAAGCCACCTGGAATAGTACATTGACAGACAACTATCAGAAATATAATCTGGGTTTAGAAGAGACCGTGTCAGTAGGGACATCAGTGTCAATGTCAGATGGATCTTGGCCAAAAACAGAGAGTACTAGAGGAATGTCTATCTGTGTTTTATTGACTATGCAAAGGCATTTGACTGTGTGAATCATAACAAATTGTGGCTAACCTTGAGGTGAAAGGGCATCCCAGAATACTTGATTGAGCTCATGTGAAACCAATACTTGGAATAGGAAGCAGTCATTAGAACAGAGCAAGGAAACACTGCATGGTTCAAGGTAGGAAAAGAATGTGTCAAGGAAGCATCCTGCTTCCATACCTTTTCAGTCTATATGCAGAACAGATAATTTGGGAGGGTGGACATTATGAGGAGAAATATGACTGCAGGATTGGAGGAAGACTCATCAATAACCTGTGTTGTGCAAATGACACAATTTTGCTGGCTAAAACTGATGAGGACCTGAAACATTTGAGGCAAACGGTCAAGAACAGTAGTCTTCAATATGGTTTCAACATCTAGAAGACAAAGATTCTAACCACTGGGCCAATTAACAGCACCATGATAGATGGAGAAGAGATTGAGGTTGTTAACAATTACAGCTTGCTCGGCTCCACACTCTTATCATCAGCAGTCAGAAAATCAAAAGACAAATTGCATTGGGAAAATCTGCTGTCAAGGACCTCTCTAGGGGGCTAAAAAAGCAATGATGTCAGTCTAGAGACTAAGGTGTACCTGACTCAGGGCAAGGTCTTTGCAATTAATTGCTATGCATCTGAGAGCTGGACAATAATTATGAATTACAGAAGAAGAATAGATGCCTTTGAGTTGTGGTGCTAGAGAAGAGTCTTGAACATATCAGGGATTGCAAAGAGAACAAACAGTTCCGTCCTGGAACGGGTGAAACCAAGCTGCTCCTTGAAGGTAAGGATTTTGAAGTTCTGTGTCACATATTAGGCAGAAAGGACCAGTTCTTGGAGAAGATTATCATGCTTGGAAGGATGGAGGGGCAGCACAAGAGAGGAAGACCCTGGATGAGACGGATTGGCACAGTAAATGGGCAATGGAGGTAGAGGTGTCAGAGACAGTGAGACTAGTTCAGAGTAGGGTAGGGCTCAGAGCTATTGTACCTAGGGTTGCTATGAGTCACAGGTGACTTGATGGCACATAACAACAGGAACAACAAACTGACCCAGGAAGAAATAGAAAATCTCAGTAGACCTATAACAAAGAGATTGGATCAGTAATGACAAACAAAACAACTTCCTAAAGGAAAAATTCTGGACCAGATGGCTTCAGGGATCTGAATTCTACCAGACAGTTAGATAAATTAAACCAATCCTTCTTAGATTCTTCTAAAACACATAAAAGAAGGAAATACTACCTAAGTCAATCATTGGGTCCAGCATTAAACTAATACCAAAGCCAGATGCCAGATACAGACATACAGACATCTCTCTCTCTCTCTCTCTCTCTCACACACACACACACAAATGCACAGACACACAGACCTTTATTTCTTGTGAATAGACTCAGTTAAACTCAGCTCATTGTTTAGTCAGAAGCTGGCCCTCCATTTGGTCTTCAGAGCTGTAAATCACATGGGAGGAGACTGCACAAACTTCTCCCCTCAGAGTCAATGGTGGATTCGAACACCAGGGAGGTGTGGCCTTTGGATTAATGGTGGGACTCTTGAGTCCACCCGCAGAATGTGTGTACTGTCTTCATGCACACACATGCACACACGCACAGCCCCGAACACTCAAGCTCACCGCCGTGGAGTGACCAGCTCAGAGCTGACCTCTAGCAGGCTTGCTGAGGCTGTGGGCTGCACGGGGAGAGATTGTCCATCTTCTTCCCCTGAGGTCACTGGTGGATTCAAACCACCTGCGAGGCACAGCCTCTGAGTTAGCACTGCAGCTTCCTATGGACTAAGCCAGGAGGCGGCCATGTAAAACACCTTTGCCCAACGACATGCTAGCAGACCCTATACAGACCAGAGTCCACACAATCCTAGCACCTCCAGTATATACGTGGAGATGGGACAACAAGGTAAAGAAAAGAAGGGAGCAAAAGAAGAGAAAAGAACACATTTCCTCACAGATATGCCCTCCTTTTGTTGTGCCACACACTGCGTTTCTTTTATAGGCTAGCCATATGTATGGCTAGATTAGCACGTTTGATTTATGCAGAGAGCTCCTAACACTGCATAAGTTAATAGGTTTTCAAAACACTGTCAACAGAAATCACGTCCCTTTTTCTAAATGTGCATCCTAAGAAAGCCCATTCCTGGAACTCACTCCTGCTTTTCCACTCAAGAGGCTGGTGCTCACGTGCCGTAAACCCCGGTGAAGCCGACGGGTTTACATGTCCAGGAAAGCACAACACACTTTTGTTGTATATCTGATCCTATTAGTCTCTTGCGGTTTGCTTTTGAAAATAGCAGAGTGAGACCCCATTCATCACATTCCACATGTAGAAAACACCACGTACTTTTAGGCAGTTGTCACGATGTGGACCAGAGCATTTCAAGAAAAAGCAAGGGGAAAAAAGAAAAATCACACTTTCCAGCCCGAGACACAGAAGAGGTGCCTTCTAACGCATGCTGGCAATGCCAGGAGGTCGAATGATTTATGACTGTGGCCAGCCAGCCAAGGCCGCACTGAAGAGGCTCACTTGCAGAGATGCCCTGTAAGGCCAGGGGACTTGTCTGAGTAACAGCCACTCGGCTACGACTGTGGATTCTAGATCAAGGCCTCTGGATTTTAATCCATCCACATCTCATCAGTATATGTAAACAGATGAAATCCTTGCCCAGTGTATGTTTTCCTTGGCTTCTGCTGCTTCCACCCCCCAACGTCCCCGCCAGGTCCCAAATTGCAATGCCAGTGCGCTTTTAAAGATTTGGGGATGTGAACACAAAATAACTGTTTGCGTTAATTTAGCTCTACCATGAAATTGAAAAAGAAGTTGCCATGCTTTCAGAAGGAACACATTAATCAAAACAAGAAACTAATGGCCCCATAAGGAGTAATTAATATGCTTTGAAGTCCTGTGTCATGAGATAAAAGCTTATGCAAATGCTTTCTTTAGTATTTTGATGATGAACACAGCCACTTAAGCATTGGGTCCTTGCCCGGTTTAACTAATGGACGCATGTTATAGATTCCCTTTTCCTCCTGTCAGCAAGAATACAAGTCCCTGACTGGGTCTCATTGGTTAATTTACAGGTTCATTTTTCATTTGGTGAGCTCTGCCCTGTGCCAAGGGCGCTCTGGTGGCCGAGTGCCAACCAAATGCACATGTTCTGAGTCTACCAGCTGCTCTGTCCAGGCCTGAAGGTCTGCTGGAGGGTTAGCTACGAGTCGGTTCAGACTCCATGGCATGTAACAACCACCACCAGCGTGTGCCAACCACTGCATTTCTGAGCTTTGCATATGGTGTGAAAAAAGATGAAGTCCTGGTCCTCATGGAGTTGACCATGCAGAGAGGGAGAGAGAAAAGCACCTTCTGTCACCATCTGGGACTCGCGATGCAGCAGCATCACCCGGGAAGTTGATGGGAAATGCAGGCCTTACCTCAGATCTCAGAAAACTCCTACTCATGCCATAGAGCCCTAGGACACACAGAGCGACCTCCATTGGTTTGCAAGGCTGTCAGTCACATTGGAGGGTACTGCCCACCCCTCTCCAGCAGGACAGCTGGAGGAGCTGAACCGTCAGAGGACATATGGCCTTTGGGTCAACAGCACAACTCTGTGCTGATCCGACCACTAGAGCTCCCCATGCCAGAGCTACAGGATCAGAATGTGCATTTTAGCAAATGTCCCAGGTGACTACAGTTGGAGAAGTGCTGCTGTCAGATAGTCATCTGGGGGCCTAATAAAACTGCCAGGGGGACCTTTTAAAACTTAGTGATGTGGTGTCCTCCAGAGACTCAGAGTTAAGTCTCGGAGGATCCCAGGAATGCTTTCTGGGCTCCTCAGCATGTTCTAGTGAGCTCTGGTGGCCTAGAGGGTAAAAGGTTGTACTGCCAAACCAAAGGCAGATGGTTCAAATCCACCATCTTCTCCTTGGGAGAAAGGTGGGCAATCTCCCAAGAAATTTACAGTCTCTGAAAACCCACTGAGGGTCAGCTCCGTGTCAGCTCTGAGTTAAAGAAAATGAGCCGAGTGGGTTCTGATGTGCAACCAGTGTCGAAGACCTCCACATCGGGGATATCAACGACATACAATGTGATGGCGTTTAGGAGAAATGTTTAACAGAATAGTTGCAGTTTATCTCAGCAAAGAGAATGAAAAACCACATCCCACCTCCGATGTGGCCACGTCAATGCTCTGCAAGGTGGTGGCTAGAATTTGGTGTGGTCACTAAATTGAGTTCTGAAGTCAATCTTACCATCTCCTGTAGGTTCCCAGACAGTCAATAACTCCATCTGGAGGAAAGAAATCCCAAAGACATTCCTATTAAGACCAAGGTTGAACCTCGATACAGTCACTTTCTCTTTCATCACATACCTGGGGACCTTTAATTCCAGGGCTTCCTTTTTCTCCTTTAACACCAGCATCTCCTCTTGGACCCTACATGAAACAGAACCAAGAGTTTACTTTCTCCCTCAGAGACAAGACTTTATTGATGACTTAGACATTAAACATGAAAATGCTATGGTAATGGCATGGACAGAAGTTGAAAACGTCCAAACTGCTGCTTGTTCTGTTTGATTTGCTGATTCCTCCTCATCTGTTCAAACATTTGATGGCTCAATCGGACACGTAAGTGGGTGGGCCTTTGCAGTTGAAATGACTGGGTCTTAGAAGAAATATGGAAGAGTTAACTTTTTCAGTACTACTTTCCAATGACCCTATGCATCAGAATCTGCAAATTCCCACTGGAATATAACAAACCAAGATGCTCCAAGACATAAATCTGAAAGCAGGACATTTAGGTGGACTTGCAGGTCAATAGCTGCCCTGAGGATGGGTCATAACAAGATGAGATCTGTGGCGAGGTAGAATTTAATGGCCAGGTTTCCAAGGCTGAGAGCCCTGCTCTTCAGAAGTCGTGTTGCCTATGAACTCTGACTTCGATTTGTTATTCAAAGCAATCTCCACGCTGTGTTTGGGTTTTGCATTACCCTTTAAAATAGATCATGGGGAAGAGTAAGGATCTATGCATTGGAGGGAAGGGTGGCCTTGCTTGCTTGTAGCACTTCTTGTTTAGCACACAATACCTAACCTAACCTATTTAAATTCTTCCCTACAAGCCCAGCCTCTCCTTGTTGCAGCTGGCAAGTAACAACAAGGAACAAATAACAGAACCAGAGAGAGACAGAGGCCCAAGAGAAAAGTGTTTACTGCTCTGAAATCGTGGTAAATGTGGCCAATTTTTTTTTTTGATGTGAAGGATATGTTGCCCAACTTTCAAGCACCTGCCAATATAATACAATTACTTATGTTTTCTAAAACTATGTGAACAAAATTTTGAAAAATAACAGAACCCACTGGTTGTCATGCACATGTCAAACAACACAATTATTCCTCAAGTATTTAAAACAAAAAGCTGGGGAGGGGAAAAAATGTTTCCTTTGTGGCTTGATGCTCTCTCCTGTCAACCATTTCTGGGGCCTCCTTTTCCTTCTGACTTATTGTTTTAGGCTACATCCTGCCCTCTCTGGCACTTGCCTCCTTTTTTCTTAGGAGATCAGGGTAAAGAGCCAACCATGGCTTGTTCCCTGTGAAGGAAAAAGTTCTCCAGGCATCTCCCAGGAGAAGTGAACTAGAAAAAATGGGCCGAGGGCCACGCTGTAGCTCTCCCCGCTGAAGTCCGCAGCTGCACGCAGAGCAATTCTTTCCTAGAGCAGAGCCACCTTTCAGAGCATCCAGCTCCGCAGCTCTAAGCTCTTACTGCTAAATGGGCCAAGTTCTCAGGCCTGTGGCTTCACATTTTCAAGGTCACCCTGGAAGACTCGAGCCAGGGCCAAGTTGACAAGAAGTTCGTTCTTTAATCCCTTGCCTGGCGATAACGAAGAGCAGGGAGTCTGCAGGTTGAGCTGGGCTCACTCTTTTCACTGTGTACGAACCCACATTCACTTTAAACATCGGTCATTTTGCACAGGCTTACTATTAGGGTTTCCAAGAGAGAAGGCAAAGTGTTCTGTGTTTTCAGATTCTTATTAGTCCTAAGAGGTACCTGAGGCCCCTTTAGACCCAGTGAGCCTTCCAGTCCATCTGGACCCCCCACTCCTCTTTGACCCTGCGGGGAGAAGGAATCAATGAGTTAGTGCTGGTTCCTCATGCTTTTTCTTCCTTTATATGTGAGATTACAATTATTTTTTAAAATCACTATGATAACACGATTTTCTAAAAAAATAAGGTAAAATACAAAGAAGAAAATGAAAATATCCCAAGATCCAGTCAAGCAGAGCTAACTAAAGTTAGTATGTTGGTTAACTAGTCTTTATGTATGCACATCCACAGACACATTTTTCATTTTCTATAAAATTTATACTATATTATACTTATAGTGACATCTACTCCTTACTCGCAGACTAGCTTATTATCTGGCAGTTCTCTTTTACAACAATAGAACAAAGTCCAGTATGTGGCTATTTTGCATATGAATGATGTATACCTGGCAATAATGAACCCTGAGAAGTGAGGCGAAGTGACACTGGCTATGCTGGTTAGCTGGCTAGGCCATGATTCTCAGCGGTTTGGCCTTTCTGTCAGTTGGCATTTACTTAATGATAGTTTTCTTCCATTTCGTATAACACCGTTATTGCATAATGATGTGGTCTTTGGCATCTAACCATGTTAAGTGAGAAGTGGGCATACATCAGCTAATGGGTAGTTCCTGGGTCTGAAAGGTTTACAAGCAGCCACCTAAGGTGCAACGCTTGAGTTCTCTTTGTCCAGAATGAAGAAAAGAGAAGAGAAACAAAGATGCATGGAAACAATCAGTACAAAGGGCTGATGCGACGAGAATGTCTACCGCCACGAGCCTGAGACCAGAAGGCCTGGACGGGGCCCTGTGGCGACGAGAATGTCTACCGCCACGAGCCTGAGACCAGAAGGCCTGGACGGGGCCCAGCTGCCACAGCTCTGAAAGGGACCACAGGGGAAGGTTTCAGACAGAATAGGGGAAATGTGGGACAAAATCCAAAGCTGTAAAAATTACCAGGCGTGTCAGTCGGTAGAGACTGGTGGAACACCAGCACCGTGGCTCTCAGTCACCCTTCAGCTACGGATCTAAGCTCATCCCTGTGTCCAGTTTGGCTCGAAAGAAAAGACAAGCCTATAAGGAGGGGTGTGGACACCACAGAGATCTAATGCTTCAGATCAACCAACCACACGAGAGAAACACACACACACACACACACACACACACACACACAAGCATTTGCCCACCAGTAAAGCTCTGGAGGTGGGAAGGGGTAGGACAGAAAATTAAGTAAACACAATATCAGAACCACAGAAGGAAATGCAAAGTTACACTGGAGGTATTGTAATTAATACCATAGCACAAAACATGCATGAATAGTTGAATGAAAAACCAATTTTCTCTATAAACTTTTACTCATATCACACACACACACACACACACACACACACACACTGCCTAATATTAGCCTTACAATATCTATGATATCCTACTGTAATCTGTCATTCCTTTGCAGGTAAGACTGTATTTTCCCAAATAGTGTTTAAACTGTTGTGTTGTTTTTGCTTTTTTTTAAATATGGAGTTTTATTTACTATCATGTGGTTTTGAAAGTGCGTTCATTATTTGTCCTGAGAGCATTTTTAATCAGAAGGTGTGTTTCTTCAATTTTATGAAATTCTAAGTCATTCATTATTCTAGCACAAATACTACAGGTTAACTGAGCATGCATAATCAGGTTATGAATTTTATATTCTTTTGGTATAATTATCTTTTTTAGCAAAAAAAAATCTAGAATACCTAATTTGAATTAGAATTTTATTGTACTTTCTTGGTTTATATGAAGTTTTATTTAAACGGTAAAAAATGATTTGGAGTTAATTAAGCAGAAATCTGAAGGTGAGGTCACTTATTAGGTTATGAGAGCTTGTACCTGAGATAAAAAAAGTCAAATTTAACAATAATTGGGCTAAGTACTATCGCTGATCAATAATTTTTATGGTATCTGATAGACATCTCCAAACTTTTCCACAATTTTATTCCATAGCCAACATCATCATGAAGCTAAAGGAAATTAGCTTTGAAAAAGCCTTTCTTCTGGTTCATTGATAAGTCACTGACTACCCTCTAGAGTTCGGGGGAGGGGTAGAAACAAAGGCTTTTACCTGTAGCCCTTGGGGTCCCCTTTGACCACGTGCTGCCTGAAATAGAAGAAAGGGGAAATATCATTAACTCTGAAAAACAGCTTTTTAAAAAGGAATTAAATGGATTCAAATTAGCAACCGACACCCGAAGGCTCTGGCATATAAATAACTCCCACATAGCGCTTAAAATATTCAGTTATTTTCTGCACCATGAAAGCAAAATCTCCCTCTGTATCCGAGGGCAATGGGTAATTGAAATAATTGAGACTGAATCCCAAAGACACTCCTGAGAGCAGACTGTGGCCAATAATTTCCCCTTCACCGTTCTTTTAGGAGAGCTGTTCACGAACTGAAAAATGGGCTGATTTGAATTTTATTTCCCCCCTTTTTTTCTCCCCCACTCCCTGGCACCATGAAGTATGCCAGAAATCAGGAGGGCAGAGGCCAAAGGGCAGGAAGCCAGAGGAAAAATTGAGAACTGACTCTGTGAATGTTATTATAACTTAAGCTCAGAAACTAAAGACAGCCAAACTTTCATTCCACCTCCCCCCAAAAAACCAAATAATATACATCTCCCTTTAGTTTTGCCAACAGTATACTGCACTGGACAAACGTTACAAAGCCAAGAGGCCACTTCAAGGAGTCACATATATCTGACCCAAACCACGGTATTTTCAATGGCTCATATGCTGGTGAAAGCTGGGTAACAAACAGAGAAGACTGAAGAAGAATGGCTGTTGACTGATGTTGGCCCTCAACTGGAAACGTAACCCAGAGGGCCAGCAGGAGGAGTCCATCGGTCCTGGAAGAAGAAAACGTTCCTCAGGAGCGAGGTGGGCGTGATGTGTTATCAGGAGCCGAGGGTCGGTGAAGAGAGGACCCTCAACAAGATGAGTGGACTTGTTTCAAGGAGGTGGATGGTTATTGAAAAAAAGAAAAACCTTCAACGAAACAGTTTACCACGGTCGTTACGACAATGGGTACAAACAGCGTCAACTGTGAGGACAGCATGAAAACATTGAAATTAAAATAGTCCCTATAGTTCTCAGCTGAATTAAACTCAAGTTTCTATAGTTCTCAGCTAAGTTAAACTCAGGAATTTTTAAAGCCCCACACCCAGGTATCCAGGGCAACAGTATTTCAAGAATAGCTAGCAGAAGGGCAGAGCAAACAAGCAAAGATTGTTTCTCAACTGATAACCCATGTGCCTTTGTTTCCCGACTGATAACCAATGTATCTTGTGCTTTTCCACTGCTCTAGAGTTTGAACTCATTGTATACTTAAGAATTTGTGACACCACCATATAGTTAAAAATCTATCTAACTGCTACATGTGCTACATGACTGCCGCAAGTGCTACGTGCAAAAATGCTGTGTAAACCCCGAGCGAACACTGAACCAATGAATTCAAACTGTGCTTTCATCACCCAATGAGAAGCTGATACTCAGTTGTATCCCCCTAAAGTGTATAAAAAAACCCAACTTTGTCTGCTCGCGGTCTGTCGGCTCCTCTATCTCTTGCCAGAGATAAGAGTCGGCCTGGAGCTCCGCAATAAACCTCTTATCTCTTGCTGTTGCATCAAGACGGTGTCTTGGAGTCTTGGGTCTTCGCCGTCCACTCGGGACAGAACAGGACCAGCGGTTCGGGCGTCCTTCAAGCACAGGACGGGGCAGTTTTGATCCACTCCAGTCAGGGTCACTATGAGTCTCACTGACCGGACAAGGACACTAGATGACTCGGGATGCAGAAATGAAGGAGACATCCCGAGGATTTGAAAGTGCTCTCTCTCTCTCTCTCTCTCTGTATATACCGAGGACATACACAAGCTCACTATTTCTATGTGTAGAAATCTTCTGTGCCATCAGCAGCCTCTGAAAACCCTCTGGAGGGTGAGCTACGGGTCAGCTCTGACTGAGGGCCCACAACGACATGTATGATTCAGTGACCCTGTCCGCATTCTCTACATCTTCCCTCTCCACCCTCCTTTCCTGAGCTATTCTTCCCCTTTTAGCACAGACTCATTGTCTGCTGTTCTCTCCCACATCTTTTGAGCTGCTCTGGTTAATTTCATCCCATGTGGGTAGATTTTAAAAGTGCACAATAGTTAAGGTAGACACCTTCTTTACTACATAGTAGAATTGATTGTTTGGCCTAAGAAGACTACTGGGAAGCTTTGTTTGTTTGTTTTAGTCTAAAAAAATGATTACTCAGAATAATAGTGTCAAATGTTCATCCTAGAAAATCTAGAATCCATGAGAATTTGACACTTTGTTCTGTAGTTGGTTCCTTTAGATGAGGATTCCCCCACAGAGTCTGATCAAGCTCTTCAAACATGACTGTCGGGCACCATCCAGTCCTTCTACTCTCCCAGCAAAGGAGCCAGGTGGTCATTCGCCAAGATTCCTGACCTCCCCTGCTCCTCATGCTGTTGTTCCCAGTCCTCAGAGATCAGTTCTTACGCTGGGGTTGCTACTTATACGCTTTTAAGAGCCCTAGCCTTTTACCAAAAAATAGGAGGTGGGACAGGGTAGTAGGCCCGTTGATGGAGGGGTCCCATGAGACCATGACCTCAACCTCCAAATGAAGGACTCACATGAGGTGTTTAGTCATAAACAAGAAGCCTGAGAAGCTGCCTTTCACTCTGGTCACTGTTGTGAATAGGCCTACCACACAACCCTTGATGATTCAACACTTTACAAGTTTTATTTCACTCTGGTCACTGTTGTGAATAGATCTATCACACAACCCTTGATGATTCAACACTTTACAAGTTTTATTTCACTCTGGTCACTGTTGTGAATAGATCTATCACACAACCCTTGACGATTCGATGCTTTAAGTTTACAATTTACTGATGACAATGACACTGATCAGTTGTAAAACCCTTGTCTTAATCAGTTTGGCTTTTCTGTCAGTATTAATCTACTTACCCAGCTCTTACGCCTCTTGCTTTGCTGATTTTTAGTGCCCATCGGTCAGCGTGGATGCATGGTGACAACCGAGTGAAGCCATGCCAGCTCCTCGGCCATCCTCAGAACCTTTGTTGTGTCTAAGCTGTGTGTCCATCTCTCTTGGAGGGTCTTCCTTTCTTTCCATCACTGACTCCACCATGAATGCTGCCCCCCAGACACCGTGATGATGCATGGGTTGAAGTCTTGCCACTTCACTTCTTCCCGACTTAATCCTACCTGGTTGCCACCGGCATCATCTGTGACTGGAGGTTGTGACAATTCTTTCTCTATTTCTAATTTCTTTTGCCGTTTTTTGGTAAGTTTTACAAAAGAGGATGAACATAAATTTACTTTTCCATCTTTTACTGAAAATCTTTGGGTGCATCACATTTGGCACCTCAGGGTCACAATGATAGCTTGTCTCTGGAAACCCTATGAACTTGGAGAAATGAAGAAAGTTCACAGGATCGCTATGAGTCGCCTATGACTCCACAGCATTTAATAATGACAACAACGGAAAATCTAGTTTTATTCCTAAATGACATTTCTGAATCTATAACCAAAGGCAAGGGTCGTATTTATTACGAGCTGTATAGCTTGAAGAATCCATAGAGTTGTGATATGCACCATTAGAGAGGCCGTAACTTCTGTAAAACAAATCATCGTACCCACTCACATGCAGGGTTTCCTGAAGGATACTCCTTAAACTGGAGGAGTTGTAGGACAGCTTCACCTTTTCAAAATGGTTTTTTTAAGGAGTTTTTAGGAGTGGCATCCACTTCCTAAACAACATGCCTCCAGAAACTCTATAAACTCTGATGAACGTCGATGTTGTAGAGGGGCCTTTTGTTCATAGAGTTGCTATGAGTCATGCTCGACTCAAAGGCAGTCAACAGCAACAACAACAACAACAACCTCTTATTAATATGTATGAGCACTTGAAACAACAACCTGAACCCTGCCTCTCCTACACCATCTTCATCGCCACCATTGTGGTCGTCACTGTGTCAACTCATACAACCCAAGGTCTTCTTCTGCAGATCCTCTATGTTTCCTGGTGTGAAGTCTTTTTCCAAGGACTGAGCTCTCCTGGCAACGTGCTCAAAGCATGTGAGATGAAGTTTCACCATCCTTGCTTCTAAGGAGCATACTTTCTTGTTCTTTTGTCAGTCCGTAGGATTTCAGCGGTTTTCTCCACTGCCACAATCCAAAGACCGCAACTCTTCTGCCATTTTTATTCTTGTCTAACATCCAGATGCATAGAAAGCCATCAAAAGAAACCATGGTTTGGATCAGGTGCACCTTAGTCTTTATACTGACATCTTTGCTCTTTAGCAGTTTAAAGATGTCTTTGCCAGCACATTTGTGCATCTTTATCTACAGATGCAATAAAACATTAGTAAAGAGCTCTTCCAGAAATCAACTTGAATATATTGAAAATATTATTTCTGTTATTTCCCTGTTCTGTACACTGAAAAGAGGAGAGATATGTGTTTCAAACACAAAGGCTTTTTCTTGGTGAGGCACAAATGGTGCATTCAGGGACCTTCTGCTCAGAAAACACAATGCAGAATAAACTTAATATACCAAACTAGTTTCTAATTGTGCTCAATTTTAAAACATTTATCTTTTGTATATAGGAAGCTGAGGGAAAATGTAGAGATTTCTAGTTAATAAACTAAAGAAGGAGAGAGAAAAACTTGTAAAATGAGAAATGTTATTGTTGTTGATTGCCTTCGAGTCAAGCATGACTCAAAACCCCTCAACAACTATCAACAATTATAAAAATCAAAAACACAGGTCCCGTTTAGAGACAGACACAGGCATTTAAGTATATTCCATTAATGCTACCTTTTAAAAATTATTGAATGATAATTTTCTTTCTTAATCTCTGTGAATTTCCAAGTGGCCAAGCAAAATTACATTTTTTTTAAAGGACTTGTGGGAAAAAAAAAAAGGACTTCTGCAAAACTAGCAACCAACACATCAAGCAAACAAAAACTCAAAGGCTTTGGTCAGTCTCCTCGTCTTGGCCTCTGCTGTGTCTACATGCCAACTGTCGGTTCCCTCAGGAGTCACAGCTGGCGGAGGAACGGCGCTTGAACTTGGCACAGCCTCACTGGCATCCTCAGTTGGCTGGGCTTGGATCATGCTTCTAGTTGGCTGCTGTTTGCTTCACTTTGCCCAGCGTTGCTTCCTGGCTGATAATCATCCCCACAGCCACTTTCCTGTCCTCACTTCGCAGGCTTTCCCCCATGTCCTTGGCCAGCCCTGTTCTGAGAGGTCTAAGTCAGCTTCTCCAAGGTGGGGAACTCCCAAGTGGTACCATCCTGCGTCCAATCCACTCAGTATAACTACCTCAACATGAAATAGGTTCCCAGGGAAGGAAGGGGGTATTTTTGTCTAGAAAGATTCTTACCATCTTTTTCCTGGAGCCTGGTGTTCCAGGGGGGCCTGGCCAGCCTCTTGTACCCTGTGAAAACAAGCAGATGTGTGAGAGTTATGACACAGCACTGAAACATAAAAGGGAGGACAGAAAAGCAAACACCAACGAGAGGGTTCTTTTCGCCTTGGGCTACGGCATCGCTCCCAGGGTCAGAGACCACATTTCCATTCGGATTATGAAGAACGGCAAGACACACATGTTCCCAGCGTGGTTTCTTCTGTTCATGTCCTCTGTCTAATTTGGGTTTGGGGTACATGTCACAGAGCATTGGTATTGACTACACGTTGTGTTGAACAGGTGAGGTGCTCGCTGACACACGGCCTGTGCCAGGTTACTACCATTTGGCAAACTGGGGCAGATAAACAGCCTTTTGAATACAGTCACAGGATAGACATAAGCTTTCCCAAGACATAAAAGAATGAGGGACATACATTAAGTTTACGATAAGACTTATTTCTGCTGCATTAACAGTGGTGCACAGTGACTCAACGCTCATGATGTGAGGAAGCAGTCACCGAATCCTCTCTAGAACCTTCACAAGTGCCCTCTTCATCCTACACTTCAGATGAGAAAATTCAAGTTTGCTGTTAGAGGCTCCGGGGTATAGAGCTAGGCAGAGGGAGGGGACCTAATCTGTTACCAAGCAAAGCTCTTTCTACTATATCATCATACTTCCCTCAGTGGAATCGTTGAGAGGACTTACTCTTTCAGAAGATGCACAGAAACATATTTTTTTTTGACAAATAATGATTTTTTCACAAATGCTGTTGTTTTTCATAAATATGGGGGAGGAAAAAAAAAAACCACCCAACTAGGTGAGAGTGATCAAATTTTGAGCTGCAAGATTCACGAGATTAAACCTAAGAGACAGACCTCTCAGGTGTGAATTATCCAGCCCTCGTGGATGGACACACCGTCTATGACACACTGACTTCCCACAGAAGTGGCTTTCAGGATGGCAGAAAGCCAAAGCTCTCTGATTATTAGCCCATTTCTGTCAGATAGCTCGACATTTGAACTTAGATTTTCAGTGGATGGACCATCTCCTCCTGTGTGATTCTCTGCCTCTGAAAACCCACTGGAGGGTCAGCTATGGGTCAGGTCTGACTTGATGGCAAACAACAACATGCACTTATGAAGACTTCAGGGAGGTGGTTTGATGAAGCCATCGATTGCAAATTTAAAGGAAAAAAGAAGATGATTTTTGAATCCCAGAGTAACCTGTGTAAAATATCTATTTGCTCTAGAAATAATTTTTATATATTAAATATCTCTTTTGGGGAGCTCTGGTGGCCTAGTGGTAAGATTCTGTGCTGTTAATCCCAAAGACATGTGGTTTGAATCCATCAGCTGCTCTGTGGGAGAAAGATGGGCAATCTCTTCCTATGTGATTTACTGATTGAAAAACTACTGGAGGGTTGGCTATGAGTCGGCAAGAAACAAGAAGGAAAAGTCTATGTAGTATGATTCAAAATTCTTTATCCTGCAATTCATAATCAACACTAACTACTTCAGCTTCATAAGTTCCGCATTTTACAAGTCTACGTTCAAGAGAGAAAGGCCCTTAATAATCTGGATTGACACAGGGATTCAACACTGGGCCTGAACAAGGCAGAGATTGGGAGGAGGGGAAGGGCAGGGCAAGGTTTTGATTTATAGGAGCGCTATGAGCTGCTACGTGTCATGCTCGACACCTGACAACAACCACAACAACTGGATAGCACGTAACCAGAAACCCTCAGGTGCCCACATAATTACTTGTTTTCCGAGTTCTCCTTTCAAGCCTTTGGGTCCCTGTATGGCATTGTCAAATCCAGGAACTCCCTAAAAGTAAACAATAAAGAGAAAAATTTAACAGGTTTTAAATATCTCTCCTTAAATATGTAACTTATGCAGACCATGTGTTGTCATCTCAAAGGAAGTTGCCAAGAGAAGTTGAACCCATTTGACAGCAGAAGTGGGCTGCGATCCTGAGATCCCTGTGGGCTGACAGCTGCTTTTTCTCTGTCTGGAGAGGCATGGAGAGCCCCTCTGTGACAGAAAGAGCCCAGGGAAGCACAGTGACAATCCTTATCCTGTGGACGGAGATGCCTGTCTCGCTCTGTCACCTCTTCTCCTGGTGCCCCTCCTTTTTCTTGGGGGGCCCAGGCATTTGAATGGTTGAAGGTCTGCAGGTTTTACTCTCATCTGTCCTTGGGAGAAAGAGAGTCTGCCGAGGGTTCCTCCACGGTGACATGAACACACTGAGCGACACAGAGGATTTAGTCGTCACCTTCTTCCTCCTCCTCTGGGCATTTCGGATGTCTTCTTTCCCTGCCTACTCATGTCTACTTTCCTGTCTTCGTCTGCCCCTCATCCCTGAAATCTCGAGTCTTCCCAACATCCATTCAAATATTCCAGCAGGAACTCACTGAAGACAAGACACACTCCTAGGGAAACGGAAGGCTTTCTGCCCTGGATGGTTGGGGTCTCAGGTAAAGTCTTGTCTCCATGCTGCCAAGAAAATCTCGCCCAATCCCGTCAACCGTATCATCATCCCAGGGAATTGAGAGGGACAGCAATTACCCAGTTGTGAGGAGTGCCACCTGCCTGGCCGTGTGGCTGATGGCAGCTCAGACGACCTTTGTCGATCAATAAGTAATTTGCCACCACCAGCAGGGATATACGATGGCTCCAGATGCTTCGTGAGCTATTGAACTAATGGCTTCTGCTCTTACAGAGCTCAGAGGCTAAAGAGTGGAAAATGGGCTTGGAATTTAGTTTATAAGAACATTACTGAAGCTTACGTAAAATGTAATTATTTCTTTACATGATATACAAAAAGCCAACAATGATTATAACACGTCCCTTCTCCTAAATTTTAAATATTGGTTGGTTAAGATCTTCAAGTGTGGTAGACTAAACTTATGATTAGAAAATAGCATTTTGGTGAGAAAAGCAGGTCAGAAGTTAGTATTATAAGGTCTAGAACTTTATTCTATTGGATGTATAATGTCCTTGTTATAGTTCAACTCGATAAACTATTTGATTAAAGAAGTGACATAAAAAAAGTGACGTATCAGCCATTTTCTGGAACAGAACAACCTAATTTACATATGAGCCAGGTGCTTCGTTAATCTGACTATGAATCGGTCCTGCCTTTCTATGCCTGTGCGTCTGGATGAAAGACGTTCCTTTAATACAAAGAAATAATTTCACATGCGTTTCCGAGACAAAATTGTTTCAGAACGAAGGCCTTTATAGCCTCTATAAATCAACCGGATAATTGATCTGGCTCAGTTTACCCTAACTTTACGTGGAATTTACTTCTCCGATCAAATGAGAGTTTGCAAAAACCATACCTAAACTAGTTTCCACATGATAAAAAATCTTTTCTGAGGGGCTTACAGTTTTCAGGAATTTGTGCCATTTGCACATTCCTGTGACAAACCTGATCATGTGTGTGTCCCGTGAATGTCTGCCAGTGTTTACTCCATAAAGTTTGCCCTCCCAAGTTTTTCCTGCAATAGTAACCCACAAAACCCGCATGTAAAAAAGTGCAGAGCTGCCCGAGATTTGAGACCTATCTGCTCAAGGAGGTGGGAAGCACGGCTGCGCAGACAACGCTGTCAGAGGAGAGCTCTGCACGGAGATGCTCCGGTGATGGACTCCCTGGGCATCTGAAGGCCAGAGCTCATTTCTTTGTCATTTAAAATGGAAAACAACGCAGCCCCCACCTTTTGACCTCCCTCCGTTCTTTTGAGTGTGTTAAATGAGCACACGTTCTAGAGCAGAGCCCGTAGGGCAATTTTTGATCAAAGTAAATGCAAACTGCAGAGCAATACCTCAAAACATACAACCCCAAACAAACTCGAAACCGACACTGGACATGGATGACTGAAAAGCCTTTGACTTGAACTCTTATTTCTTAATTGTTCTTACTTTGGGGTAGATTCTGGCTCTAGAACTCGGTAGCCTAGTGGTAAGGAGCTACACTGGAAACCTGACAGCATGTGGTTCGAATCCACCAGATGGGTATTGTCCTTCTGTGTGATTTACTCCTTCTGAAAACCCTGTGGAAGGTCAGATGTGGGTCAGTCCTGACTTGACTGCACACACGACAACAACAACAACAACAACAACAACAACAACGTCAACAATACTCTGGTTCTAAATTAGATAGCGTTTGACGTTACCTGAAGACTTTAAGGGTGTTTGGCTATTTCCAGAAGATATAACTTTGTAAATAACGTCTTCAAGTACAAATTCCTTTGCTTTTAAGTTATAGTCAATGCATACTTCTAACCTCTGTGTTGGTCAATTGGCATGAAATTCTTTTCTGTGTTCCACAGACTATAACAGTGGCTCAGGCCATGTGTTTCCGGGTTGCCCCACAGCCCATAAACACTTGACATTCTAAGTCAGCCTTCTGATAATTCGTGTGTGATTGGCACGCTGCTTTCCTACACGCTGGTGGGAATGTGAGTACAAACTCTTTGGAAAACTGTCTGGTTGTACATAGTTAAGCCAAATAGATGCGTAAACATTATGATCCAGAAATGCATTCCATAGTTTGAGGTGAACTCAGAAGGCAGACAACTCAGGAACAGGAATCCTTTCATAGTCTGAGGCCCAAGGGCATTTCTGAACAGATACTCTCAGATAACACAGTGCAAATGACGTAAACGGCTTCTCCCCACCCAGACCCCTCAGTGAAATGAAGAGGCCCCAACAGGCACTTGCTTCTAAAACTCTTTGCCTGTGACGGTTATACATTCAGGATGGCTGTTGTGCCATCTTTAAATGAGGACATCTGTCTGAGCCGCACTCTTGGTTCATGGTTGGCTGTTAACTGAAAGGTTGTAAGTTCAACTCCAACTACCAGCTCTGCGGAAGACAGGCTTGGTGAGGCCTCCATGAGGAGGACTCCGTCGGGGGTCACAAAGGTCCTCCTGAGTTAGAACTGATTCACGACAGGGGAGTGTTGTTTTCACACATCACAGCACTAATGGGAGCTTGGCCACCTTGACTGACAGGCCGCTTCCCTCAGGTACTCACAGGGTCGCCTCGCAGGCCCTTTGCTCCGTGATCACCGGGCATCCCGCTCTCTCCTGGGCTGCCCTAGAATGGACACAAGCCACAGTAAGAACGGGACATGGCTTTTCACTAAGCTAATAAAAATCATCAAATCAACGAAACCAGCATCAAACCCCCCAAAGACCATCCAACTCCCAAGGACCCGCCCTCAGATTTCTCAGGTTTGAGTCTCAGTGGGAGCAGATGGGCATTTTTCTTCTCTGAAGAATTCAGGGGATGCAAACTGGTAACCTTCAATTAACAGCCTGACCCGCAACGCACTCTATACACCAGCGCGCCTTCAAATGAACAAAGAGCGTCTCTATTTCCTGCTCTAAAGAATTAAACATTTTCCTCTTTAAGAGTAATTAATTTTGAACTGGTAAGAACAGCCCAAATTAGTTTCAGGCATCATCTGAATCATTTAAGAGTGACCTCAGTTACTGGCCACAGTGGTGAACTCTATGATGTAGACACATCTGTCTTCTTGTTTAATTATTACAACTAATTTTTTTTATGACTCACAGATGGCTTATTCGCTTTCTTCTAATGAGAGGCAGCTGCAATCTGGAAAATTAGTCCACTTGCCCAAGGTGGTTGTGTCAACTAGAAAATGAGCTTTTGATTCATTTTTGACACTCTAAAAATAGATTGCTGAAGAATATGGAATATCCCAAGGACAGCCAAAAGGGTAAACAAGTCTGTCTTGGAGGAAGTGTGACCAGGGTGTTCCTCACAGGCTAGGACGGTGAAACTCTCTCTCACATTCTTTGCACAAGAGGGGTCAGTCCTTGGGAAAAGACAGCAAGCTGGGAAAGACGGAAGGCCAGAGAAAGGGAGGAAGTCCCTCCCCAGACACACTGGCACAGTGACCTGGCAACGGGCTCGAGCACACGAGACATTATGGGCTGGTGCGGGACAGAGACCTGCAAGGCTCAGGTTTCTTACTCGCAGGGTCAGGGTGAGTCGTAGCTGACAAGACACAGCACACAACAAAAAACACAGATTATTTAGAGATGAAGTCTGACTTCAGTTATCCTCTGCTGTAGGTGGGCATGGGTGGTGTGCACCCATCAAAATCGTCCCTGCACTCTGGATCCCGTCAGCACCTCTAAGTGTTGCCTCCAGTGTCATAGCAATAGACTCGACTCTAATATTGGACGGGGGCACAGCCTGGGGCACGAGGCAGGTGCAGGACAGGGCGGAGTTCAGAGCTGTGGTTCACGGTGTTGTTACAAGTCATGGTCAGCGTGCCCGCACCTACGACAACACAAGCGGAGGGGTGGCTTGTCATTTGTGGACCAATTCTTCACTTTTAGGGCCTCTTCACTGTGCCAAGGCATGAGGGAGTCCCTAGATGGCATGAAAACAAGTGCTCAGCCAAAAGCCTAAATCCTGGCAGTCTGAGTGTACCCGCAAGTACCACGGAAGGTAGCCTTGGGGACCTCTTCTGAAAGGTCACAGTCTTAAAAACTCTTCAGAGCATGCTTTTACTCTGCACATGTGGACTGTAACTGATTCAGCAGCAAGTAACAGAGCAATCACCGTGTCGGGAAAGCTCTATCTCTGAGCTTGGCCACGTGGTTTGATTTAGTCAGAGAAAGAGGGAGAACGGTCAGGGGAGAGGTCGAAGACAGCTTCAAGAGGCCGCAAGCCTTCCTTCTTATTATATGTGTTCCCAACATTACAAAGAAAGAATGAGGTTTACCAGGATCTGGTCCCAGAGGGCAGTCAAAGGCAGTGGAGGAAAGTCCTGGCCGGGCAGAGACTCGGGGAGAGGTCAGCCATGGGAGCTGGACCCCTCTGGTGCATAGGAAGTGCCCATTTATAAACCGAGGCTTTCCGGGTGACTGTCACACAGTTGTTCTGTGGCAATGGTAGTTATTGCAGTCTATCTATGACACTTCTATTCCCAAAGTCTCCCGTGGTTCAGTCCCTACCTGGGATCCTTCGTCACCCTTTTCCCCTTTTCTTCCAGGAAGACCCTTGTCACCCTGAGAAAGAAAAAACAGTAAAGCTCACACGTCCACTTCCGTAATTGGAAATCTCTCAGAAAGGCTCCTGGGGTGCAAAGGGAAAGCGTTACCTGTTCTCCATTTGATCCATAAATTCCGCTCTCCCCAGCGTCTCCCTGAGAAAACAGAGAAGCTTAGATAGAGCACAGCACAGCACAGCACTACCTCCTACGTGAAGAGAAGTCAGATGTCACCAAAAGAGTCCCACTTCATGTTCTATGCACAGTCTCATTGTTAGGCTGGCCCTGGCTAATAGAGAAAAGTACATGATAATACATAAGCTGTGAAAATTAGATCCCCTACAAACACAAGGAGGAAAAAAGAAAGCAAATTTCTGACAATGAAGAAAGAAAAAATCATGACCTTGACAACAGTAACTTCTGTTGCACAATTTATAGGCAATAATCTAAAAAAAGAAAATTATTTCCAGACAACAGAAGGGCGGCAGATAAATGAATGTGCCTGGGGCGTACCTCCTGTCCAGTGAATCCTCTGTTTCCCTGAAAGGAGAAAGGACAGTGAAGTTAGTGCTGGGACGCTGAATTAGTGTTGAGAACAAGTCCCGAGGCTTTGAGGCTCTTACCTTTGGGCCTTTGGCACCGTTACAACCTTTGGTCCCCTGCTCTCCCATTGGTCCAGGGGCTCCTCTTTCTCCCTAAGAAACAGCATACATTTCAATAAGTTGTCTGTTGTATCTGACTCTGGTGGCCGAGTGGTTAAGGAGATGTGCTGTCAACTCAAGCCCACCAGCTGCAGCCTGGGACAAATGAGGGCCGTTTCCTCTCTCACTGTTTACCTGTTCACAGCCTCTGAAAACCCACTGGAGGGTCAGCTCCCAGCAGGCTCTGACTTGACGATGAGTTTGAGTTTTTATTGTAATCTGAGATTTGTCTTGAAAACGTAAACAATTATTGGTGAGGGAAAAAATGTGTTCCTCTTCATGGTTTCGACTTCACACTTTATCTTTGTAAAAGCTCAGGAGGGAGGGGGAGCAGAACACCTTGCTTTTGTTCTCTGCCCCTCCCCTCCCCACCTCGCTGAGTCAGTCACTGTCTGAATGGGACACACACACAAACAACGTTTAACCTAAATGTCTGCTCAAGATACCAAGCGGAGTTCTGGGGACTGGGGAGACATGACAGGAGGACAACCCAGAGGTGACCTGTCTGAGGGGCATGCTCTCCGGATCGAAAGGAAGCTCACCGGCATCAAATACTCCTATGGTTCCTGTGCTGGTGAGTCCCACCTCAGCGTGTGTGGCTTTGTGAGCTGGGAATGGATTTCATTCCCAGCTTTTTCTTCCAAGGGGTCCTAAAGAACTATGTGGCCTCCCTTTACCTGTCTGTCTAAGTGAAGAGTAGGAGAGACCTTTGTCTCCTACCTGGTCTCCTCAAACCCTCCCACATACTACCCCACCTTATCATTCTCCATGATGTTGCCTGAGCAAGATTTTGCAACCCACACCCCCATAGCCGCTTCTGTGCTTAACGCTATTCATTGAGCACCAATCAACTAGAAAACACAATACAAAGTCTTCTACTTGGAGTCAAGACTCTTAAAAATCAAGGTTCACTGAACTACGCTCTGCTGAGTCCTGTATTCCAGCCACGTAGACCCACATGCCATTCTGAAAACACACCGCTCTCTGACTTGATCAGATGCCCTTGAATACACTGTTCTCTCTGTATTAGAAGGTTCTTCTTACACAGTTTGCTAGAAGGACATTCTTGTTCTTTTTTTTCCTTTCAGATGTTTATAAAGAACGAACTCTTGCCTGCAGCCTTCTTCTCTCATGTCCTGATTCTCACCCAAGTTGTTACCTGAGGTCATTTTGGATCTTGATCTGATTCTCCACACACCCTTTCAACTCATTATACCTTTATTATAAAATAACTGTAACCACTGCTTTTGTTAACCTGGGGATTACTTTAGATAGGGATCATGTTTTAGTTTCTTTTCTAAAAAAAGTACTTTTCAAATTTTTATTTTTAAGGATTACCACTGTGCCTAGTAAGATGCCTAATATAGACATTTTAAATGGAGAAATGAATTGATGACTGTTTGAATGATGTGAGTCTTTGAGAAACAATGTTATGACAGAGAAGATCTTATTATCTAATTGTTAGTGAATGACTAGCAGTTGAATAAATGGATAGATGTCTGGGTGGGTGAATAAATAAATGCAAGAAAGAGTAAAGCCCTAGAGAAATAACGTGACAATTTGGTCTTATGCAAATTAGCCAGAAATAAGGAAATAGCGAAGATTTGATCTCTTGGTGAACAGCATAATTTTTACATTGAGTTCATTGTGTAATGTGGTGGATGGTTGTGGTGCAGTGTGATTGTTTATTATGGCCCTTTTAGCCGAAGTCTTTGTAACTCCCACCAAATGACTGTGATGTTGTTGTTGTTAAGTGTCGTCAAGTTGTAGACAACTCATAGTGACACTATCAATGAAAGACTTGAACACTTGTATAACTTTGGTCATTTTTTTTGACCAGTGCTATACCACTTAGAAGAATGTTTAACAAAAACCAATTTAAACCAGGCCTGAGTGCTACAGATTAAAATCACCCACCTTGGGCTGGTAGCATCACTTTCTGTCCACTACGCCAACATAGCTATCTCTAAAGTATAGGACTATGTAAATGAGAAACTGCAGCCCACTAAGGATTGACACGGTGACTAGCAATGGACTTGACATATTGGAGTGTGTTGGAGGTGGTGGGATGACACAGGATAGTGCAGGTTTCAGATCCACTGTTGACAGGGTCACTACGAGTCATACTTGACCCCATGGCACAGGGCAGCAACAACACGAAGAAGATTTGGATATCTTGATAATATTGTCAGTAAGGTGCATGGCACCCTTATGTAATGGAACCATGCAAACAGGGCAATTGAAATCCTAACAAAGGGATTGGGCAGCTTTGCCATCCTCCTATAAAGAAAGCCATTTCCAGAGGAAAGGACCTCATGACCATTAGGAAAGAACTGGGATTAGCACATATCACTTTGAACTTAGGGATCCTGAGACAGAGAGAGGGCAAGAGGGAGGAAAAGAGGGAGGAGGAGAGGAGCAGGAAGAGAGAGACAGAGAGTCAGAACTCTACACCTACAAAGAGTGAGAAGTAATAGCACAGAAACAGGGGCAGAAATAGCCAAACCAGGACATTGGCAGGAGAGGGTACAGTGGACTTATTGGCCCATTGAGAGAGGAAGCTAAGCACATTCAGACAAGAGGCTTGTTGACAGAGTGAGGTGATTCTGGGCATTATTGGCAGTAGTGAAAGTACTTTGTAATATTTGGCTGAGCGGAGAAGAGATCAGGTCAGCCCAAAAGATTTCTGGTGGAACCAAGTCTTATAAAAAGGCTTGGCCATGGTGTAGTTGAGAAGAGGCTGTTCTGATTGGAGAACTGTGACCGGAATTGCTCCTGAACCTGAACTGTGTAGTCTATTGTTGTTATGTGCTGTCATGTCACCTGTGGCTCATAGTGACATGATATATAACAGAGCTCAGGATTGCTCTTTCCTGAGCCAACCTCACTGACACCTACCCCCCTTACCCAAGTCACTAACTCAATCCATTTCATCTGGGGTCTTCCTCTCTTATGCTGTCCCTCCAACTTTCCAAGCATGATGTCCTTCTCCAACAACTGGTCCTTTCTGCCAACATTCCCAAAGTATATGAGATAGAACTTCAAAATCCTTGTTTCCAAGGAGCAACTTGGTTTCACCCTCTTACTTCCCTAATAAACCCTGTAATTGTGAGTATGGTCTGTTCTATGGTATGGTGTGGTATGGTATGGTATGGTATGGTATGGTATGGTATGGTGTGGTGTGGTGTGGTGTGGTGTGGTGTGGTGTGGTGTGGTATGGTGTGGTATGGTATGGTATGGTATGGTATGGTGTGGTGTGGTGTGGTGTGGTATGGTATGGTGTGGTATGGTATGGTGTGGTATGGTATGGTGTGGTATGGTATGGTGTGGTATGGTATGTGTTCTCTGTGGCCATTGCAATGAATTGCCAAACCCAGTGCAAAAGTAGAGTGTCATGGGAGGATGTAAGAACTGGTAAGAAGATTAGAAAGAGAGAGAGGGGAGGTCTGTCTTACCTCTGCCGCATTGGCATTTACCTTGGCTGTTTAAGAGGTTGATTCTCCTTTCTTCTCGTGAAGGTAGAGAAGGCCAGATGATGCCTCTGTGCTATTTTACAACAATCAAAGAGGTAACTTAAACTACCAGCAAGCATCAGAAGCAAGACTTGACCAGGATCAGGAAAGTCTACAGATTCTACGCATATATCCTTTGACTCTGACCTTCACAGTTTCCCTCTGAATTGAAATGACTGGTACCATATTACAAATATGTTTTTTTGAGTAGAGGATGCTGAAACATAACAATTAACACTTGACTTACAGAAGTACCCTCTTCTCCCAGGTAGCCTTCACTGCCTTTAAGACCTGGAAGTCCCTGGGAATGCAGAAAGGGTAAAAATATTAGAATTCAAAAGACTTCAAACAGACATAATGAAGCAAAATTCAACTTTATAGTTTTATCTCATTTGAAACAGCAAGGCTTTATGAAACTACTCTCTCACTCTCAAATGAAAGATGTATTTATACACATATGAAGAAATGGATTGACTAGACAAGCATCCAGAGAGTGCAAGAGATTATGTGTATGTATGTGTGCATGTGTGTGAATCACAGTGCTCTCCTGTCCACAACTCTTAGAGACTATCTGTAGGGCTGGAGTTTGACATATGTTCAAATAAGCACAGTAATATTTGTCCCTGATAGACTAGAATTATGTCTTTAATAAAAAGAAAATTTAGGCTATGCATAGAATAATAGACCACACATACGCTTCTCCCACTCTTTCTGAGCCTTTTGCTTTGTTTTGTCTTAGTCTAACACCCTCTTCGCATAAAATTGAAGCAACCAGGAAATAAATAATGCAAAACCTTTCTTCAGAGACACAACCACACATGGTGATCTGGAAGTTATGGTGACTATAAATTACCAAAAAATTAAACACATGTAAAGGAACAGTTTTGGAATCATTAAATACATTCATTGTATCTTTATACATATTTTAAAATTTCCTACAGTCCAAAATAATATATTTTTTCATAAGAATACATAAACTGTATTTGGAGAGGACTAGGGAATATATTGAATCAGTCTGGTATACTTAAAAAAAATTATTGGTTTATTTTTGTTTGTAAAATCTGTGACAATAATGTGGCCAGATAAAGTGAAGCAAAGTATCTTAGCATCTTTTTCTCTGATAGGATATGCTTCTCAAGATTGATTTTCAGCAGAACAGACAAAATATTCTTGAATTTGCAATGCAGATGCCATAGCCAACCGTTGAAAGAAAGAAAATGAAATGCATTCTTGACAGCAAGGAGGGTCTCGTTATTTAACATGAAGGATAACAGTGGGTTGTTCTGCACTACTGACACCCTTTGGAGAACACTGGTCCATTTAGAGTCATCTCAGTGTTTCTTCTGAGATGTCTACCAAGACTTTGGAAAAAACCTCTCTTATTTAGAATGTCAAGAAAAATCCAAGATTATCTAGCGTAATATATAGAAGGAGGAATAAGATAAACATTTATGTCAGAGGCTCTACCTGGAGGTTAATTACGTCTCTTCATCGAGCTACCACCGTATCTGAAGGACACACTTGCTTCAGACAGTGAACCCCGGATCTGAACTGAGCTCACCTTTTTCCCTGCTGTTCCGGGATCTCCCATTGTGCCATCTCCGCCAACGCACTTGCAGAACAGACAGCAGCATGTTCGTTCAGCAACATTGACCTTGAGGTGAGGGAAGTTGAGAAGTCGATCACATTTGGTGTTTGGCTGCTGTTTCCTGCCTCACATACACAAGTTCAACATGTTTCTGAAGCCTCCCTGGGGTGGGGGAGTGTCTCAGAAACCTGTGCCCGTCGGAGTGACTGTTCCAGAAGGAGTGCAGCGGGAGACGTTCTTTCCTCCTCTGAGCCGAGCTGAGTTCTGTGTTTGAGGAACCCTGAACCGACACGAAGATGTTATTTCCCTAAATGGTGCCCGTCTACCCCAGCTCATTCCACACTGAGTTACTAACATGATTCTGTCTCCACCTTGCTTCAGCGTCGACTGTGGTGTTGTCAATTACCCACTTGATTTTGCCTGCAAATACTTTCTTGTTGACTAAAATGCAAGCTTGGAGACTTCTGCATCCCCATTTTGCAAAATCAAATGATTTCTAGAGTGCCTGTAATACTGCTGGAACAAAGTTCTGTGACAATCACTTCCAGAACAGTTTATCTGTGAAATGATTTCAGAAATATCAAGTACATGGCCAGTATTTTGGAAGTCGTTGCTGGAGAGGGCCGGTGCATGGAAAGAATATTCTCTATATTCTAGCCAGTAAAACAGTAGTTACATTTTAAAATCTGCCCTGTAGCTAGTTTGGTATTCCCAAATAACTGGCACATTTCATTGCACTTTTAATATAGCAAATTTCTTTTCAAGACAATTCTGTTTGCAGTAAATGTGAGGCTTGACTTTACTGGAGTGGAAGCAATCTCTGCCGAGCAGTTTCCCCACAAAAGTCTAGCATGATGAGAAAATGAAAATATCTTGTGATATCCACTCAGTAATTTTCTCAGTTTGTGTTCCAATACATAATTTTTTAAACTAAATTATAAAATTATCTATATTTCCCTGAAATTTTCAGAGAAATAGATAATACTTGACACGCGTGAAGCCAAGAACAACAGATGAGTTCTGGAATGTTCCATTGGATAGCTTCATATCAACTTTCTTTGGCTCACCAAAACCCTACAGTACCAGAACTATTACTCCTATTATTCTTCTTGACCCATGCCCATTCATAACATTGATTATAATTTATTTTATATAGTGTTTAGTTTATGTGATAGATAAAACCCAACCAGGAATATACAGAATATATAGCAGAGATCCACAGAATATACAGCAGAGATCCTCCTAACAGACATATTTTGAAGAATAACTTTTTTCTTTTAGGAATCTCAGTGCCAATTTCAAAGTGAAATGGATAAACACACAGAGAAATACTATATCTACATAGCATTATTATAACATTTATATATTGTTACGTATATGTCATGCATTTTATATTTGTATGTTACTGTGCTGAACAAATGATTTTAAAATATCTATTTCTATATAAACTGTGGAAAGCAGCAACAGATAGCACTTAATTGAACAGTGTTTTGAGATCCTGGTTACAGATTTCACAAGCCATTAGCAAACCAGGTATCATTTACCATTTGTTAAGTCAATGAAGTGAAAGATGCGTCACATCACTTGCTAACGCTGTAGCACCCTACTTTGAATTCTTGTACCTTTTGAAAGAAACATGATTGGGATGTACCTTGTTTAGGCTTTGATGTTGTTGTTAGATGTCCTTCAGTCAGATCTATCTAAAAATAGATCATCAGGCAAAAAGCACAGTCCAGACCACCTTTACGAATCCTTCAACTGCTCTTCTCCAGTGCAGCGTATGGCATCTTCTGTCACACCTATGGAGCCTCCTGTCATCCCCCTTGTTGAACTCCAAATGTGATTGACTGTCATTTGAAGTCACACTGTAGGTGAACTATACAACTTGAACATGAGAATTGGACTCTGGGGTGAGATGTGACAGATACTTAAGCTCTGGAAGGCATGTGACAGCTGGCTGGCTTAGGGAACAGCTGGGTCACAGCTTGGCGTCTTGGGCTCTCTGGCACTTAGGCTCTTTGAAGGGAATTTGGGCAGCCTTGTTGGTGCTATTTAAATAACTTCTTTTTCAAAAAGGTGGCTGTGTCTGACTTCTACCTGCTTCATAAAGGGGATCTGTCCCCATCAATAATTTCCATAGCACCATACAAACAGCTACATAGTCAGATAGACCACCAACTCACATGCTTCTGCATCTACTTTTTACCAAACATTGGGTCTGATGTTCATTGCAAGACGCACAGTTTACTCATGTTTGTAAGGTTTATTATGGAAATAGGTTGGAGAGGCACAGAATATCTCACAGTGCAATTCCAAGTTTAGTCCAGCAGTTCCAAGCCAGATAAACAAGGCACAATTCCTCAATCACTGAACGCCCAGGTTCAGCTGAGCATCACAATGCAAGAAGCCTCTGGTTTCCTCAATTATCCAACAGACTCTATATCAGAGCAGTAATAAGTTGTTTCCTTCAATAGTCCAGCAAGCAAAACCTTTAACTGTGGCTTTTATCTCTAGAGTTCCTCTGGTTACACGTTGTCACAGTCTCTTCACAGACTCTCCACCACTGTTATCACCTTTTGCACTGTGTGAAAAGCACTCTCTTATATAGGTCCTACAGCTCTTGATGATGTGTAAGATCATGTGTTTGCAGTTAAGGGAGCTGGAGAGCAATGACTTAAAAAATGCAATTTTCAAAGGTTCTGACACCCCATTTTTCCTCTTCCCCACCTCAAGCACGTTCTTTAAACCTGCTTTGACACATTTCCTTTATTACTGCAATTCTTTCAAAAGTAGTCTCCTATTTAGATTGTTCATTAATATAAAAAAATCTTTCCTTGCTCTTCAACTAACAAAATTAGTTCACATTCTTAAGAACAAGTACTAAACTATACACAGAATGGAGAGAAAGTTTACCAGCCCTTTGGAATCACTTACCAGCTGCTTTGACAGCCGGCTCCCAAGATCTCTCATCCCAATGGCCAGCTGGGTCTTGTACTCAAATCCTTTCCCAAATTCAATGTACAGAAGATTGTCCAGGTCACTTGAACGAGCACTTCTGTCCAGAGCAATGGTGATGAGTGCATTCAGGCCTATGCAACACAGTTGGACAGGCAACAGTTACACCTGACAGTGGTTGACAACAGGGGACAGCTTACAATTCCCCAGAAGAGGTGAGTTTTGTTAGTATAACGTTTTTGCACATGGACTTAGTTTTCCTAGGAAATGTTACTCTAGTTGTGAGAGGAGCAAGGACTGAAATATATCATCTAAGACTGCAAGGGACCGGGCTGAAGTTACGGCACAAAAGGAAGGGTATCTGGGGGGACACGACTGATTGGCGTTAAAGGAGATTGTAACTGAGTCCACTTCCTGAGTGATCATAGTTGAGAGACTGAGTTGTTGGGTTTTTAAACTGTAAAAATGTCAATAGAATAAAGTGTTCTATTTTTTTCTCTTCAAAAAGATGGGGTCCTTTGTATCACCTGGGAGTTTATCAGAAATGCAGAGTGTCAGCCCCTACTCCAGATTTACTGAGTCAGAATTTATAGTTTAGCAGCTGTGCCAGGAGATTTGAAGATTATTTATTGACTTTTTTCCTTGTTGTGCACCATCAAACGGGATCCAACTGGCACAGGAGGAGATTGCTCCTCCTCCACGTGGAGCATCTGGTGGATTAGAACTGCCCACCTTTGGGACTGCAGTGCAGCTTCTTGCCACTAGGCCACCCAAGCTCCCTTACCCTGGGAGATTTGAATGCATGCTAAAGTGTGAGAAGTGAAACTCTAAATGACCTCATAAGGAATCCACAATCCAATTTAGAATTACAAGCAATAAAGGGCAGTAACAGACCAGCAGTCAGGTCCTTAGAAATAAATGGTGCCCAATTTCCCAGAGCTGTGGCTCACAGACCTTGAGATTTCGTACACTGGAATAGAAGTGGCTCCTGGCTTATGGACAAGATCGGTGTCTGTATCCGTCCCTCAGATTTGTAGGTGAATCGGAAGGGCATTTGTGGTGTGTCTTTAGTGAAAAGCATGAGGGAGCTCTGGTGACCTAGCCGGTAGGGAGTGGCTCTGCTAATACACAGACTGTATGTTTCCAGTGGTTCGAGTATACTGGTGACATCGCAGGAGAAAGATGGGAAATCTCCTCCGTGTGCCTCACAACCTCCCGAAACCTGATGGGAGCACCAGCTGTTTGTCAACTCTGGCCCATGGTAACCAGACCTGAGCTGGTGAGAGGAAGGGGCTGTGTGAGCATAGTGGTTAAACTGGAATCCACAAGGTGTTTCTTGGGAGATAAATGAGAACGCACACTTCTGTAAGAGTTATGGCTGTTGGATCGCAAGGAGCACCTCTCTCCTGTCCTCCAGGCTGGTAAGACTTGGAATTGACATGATGACAGTGTGTTTGGGTTTCCTTAATGCAAGAAGCCCTAATGAGGCAGTGGCCAAGAGTTTGATTACAGATTGAAAGGTTAGTGGCTCAAATCCACTATCTGCGGATGTGGCAGTCTACTGTGGAAACCCCATGGGGTAGTTCAGCCCAGTCCTGTAGGGTCACGCCAAGATTCCGGGGTTTTTAGTTAATGCTCAAAATCTTTTCAGAGGTTTAAAATTGCACACCCAGAGGAAGTACATGTGTCTGTGCTGAAGAATTTGTGGTGAGCGAGGGGCGCTCCATCATTTCAGAGTGAGGACACATTTATGTAACATAAAAGGGCAGAAAGTGTCTATGAGTCGGACATTCAAAACCTGGACGGTTAAATGCAAAATAAAATTTTAACAACTAGCCCAAGGTCATCAATGACATACTTTATAAAGTAAGAATGTGAAATGATGATAATAAACCAGGCGATTCCTACAGAGGTAGTAACCATAGCAACAGTGGCGTTATCCCCTTGTAATAGTTGCTGCGTACCTGGCACTTTGTTAAGGGCTTTTTGCGCATAGCTTTTTTGTAGCTTTAGAACAAGCTTATAGGTGTGAGCGGCTGCGGCCCTGTTTTACAGACGAGCAAACTGGACGCGGGGATATTAATGATGGACCCCAGTGGCCCTTCTAGGTTTTTATCCAGACCAGCCTGACCCCAAAGCCTATATGACAAGGATATTTCAAAGTCAATAACAAAAAAGAAATAAAAAAATAAGGACATGATCAGAGAATAAAGGCTAGTCCTAGAAAGTGGGTAAATTGAACTTGACAAAACCGGACTCCAGGGACATCACCTGTCTAATTTAATAGACACACATAATAAAGAAAAATTCAAAAGAAGTTTTGAATGTGATTTGAAATTCAAAAGAAATTCCTGAATGTGATTACAGCCAATAGATTGAAGTAGGTGAGGAAAGGTTCAAACAGTTGTGGGAGAATTAGGAATGCCTTCCTGTGATATGCTTATCTGATGCAGGGAGCTCTGGTGGCCGGGTGGGTAAGGAGGCGCACTGCCAACTCAAAGGCAGGCAGTTTGAATCCCCTGCTAGTCTTCGGGAGGAAGATGAGTATCTTCTCTTGTGCAATTTATGACCTGAAACTGCTGGAGGGTCAGCGATGCGTTGGTTCTGATTTGCTGGCAGTGAGTTGTTGCTGTTGTTCATGTGATACGTGGATGAAACAAGGCTTGAAGAGAGAATGAAAGGGATCATGTTTCCAGGACACAAGAAGGAGGCTGCTGTTCTGCAGAAGACAGATAGAGTGATCGGCAGGAGACGAGGCATCAGGGAGAGAAACAGTGAGGAATCCAGGCGCCCACTCATCCTGTTTGCCTGGGACTTCCCGGGCTCAGTGCTCAACGTCCTGGGTTTCAGGAAACCTGGCACCTCCAGGTGGATCAAGACAGAGAGTTGCCCTTCCAAGAAAGAGAATGAGGACCAAGAATACAGAGGGAGAGGGGTGTCCACTGTAGGGACAAATTGCTGCTGAGTGATCAAGAGAAGGCATCGTAATGTGTCCATGTACTTTAAAATCATAAAACGAAATCATAAAGAAGAAGCCATTCACAGTGGTTAAGTACCAACAAAGAGGTTGGTGGTTCGAATCCATCCAGTGGCTCCAGTGGGGTGTGGGGTAAGAATTGGGGGTAGAACCGACCTGGTAATTTACTTCATTAATGTTTATTGCTTAGAACGCCCTGTTTTGTCACATGGGTCCACAATGAGCTGAAAATAGATGGAATGCCACCTAACAACTACAGTTTGTTTATTTATTAGGGAAAATATTCTCACTTTTGGCTTATTTTGTAAGTTCCAGGAAATGCAAAACTTTATGACTTACAAGAAACAAGAGAGCTCTGCCCGTCAGAAATGTGAGTACAATTAGACTAGTCCTCGCCTTTCCCGGGATGGCTGGGCATCAACCCTGCTCCTCGCTCATCAGAGGACTTTACGGTCAAGATCTTAAATCTCCTAGAAAGTAATTAGGAAAGAAAAGAGTTTTCAAGAGAAGACGCGTGGAGTTGATTGTAGGGCTGTGGATCTTAAAATGCAGGAAATGACTCCAAACTTAGAAGTTGTGAAACTCGGCCATCACCCAGACCTTTGTTTCCTTTAGTCCCTTTGCGATTGCACAGTTCACATGCATATAAATCCACCACGTTCACTGTCATCAAGCTGACCTTGACTCACGGGGCCTCTGACAATGAGGGTAGAACTGCCTCGTGGTCTCTCGGCTAGCAGCACTTCTCACAGTGGACTTCATGCCTGGAGCTGGAAGGTTGTCCTAACTCAGAAGATGACAGCTCGCATCAATGGCTCCCAGCACATGTGATGTGTAGATGCGGGACATCAGGGCTGGAGGCACCCCCGTCTGTCTTGTCAGTGCCCTTGAGAGCCACGTGACACTTCTCAAAGAACATTACAATCTTCACCCTTCTCCCTCTCCAATTTGAATATTATTACTTTATGAGGGAATTATTAAAAACCTCAGGTTCTGAAATGGAAAACTGTTTAAGAGATTTTCCTTGGATGTCAGAAAAAAGAGGATGTGGATTGAATTTAAACATCTTGGCTTTCCAAAGCACTTCCTGAGGACAGCTCTGATGCTGTATATGAAAGCTTCATCTTTCTCCCCACAAAAGAAAAGCTGAAATAATAAAATAAGTCATTTGACTCAATAAATTGAGAACTCTAAAGTCGTCTTCTCAGTTTTAATAAAAATCATTGTTGCGGTGTGGTATTACGTTGGAACCATTGATGCATTAAGCTGACCCTCCAGCAGGTTTTCAGAGGCAACAAATCACACGGGAGGAGACTGCCCACCTTTCTCCTGCGGAGTAGCAGGTGGATTTGAACCACAAGCCTTTGGGATTGCAGCACAGCTTATTACCACTAGGCTGCCAGAGCTCCCCTAGAATCACCATTTTTAAAGTTCATGGAGGGAAGAAAAGTCACAACTTGGTAGAATAAAGCAAAGACAGCTTTAGCAGAGAGAGGATAAAATGAAAATCTTCCCTCATTGGCTGGAAATTCAGAGAACTTTATCATTTGCTTAAAATTTAGGATAGGAAACCAAACAAACAAACAAAAAGGCCAAATCCAGCCAAGTGCAGATGTCTGTGTGGTATTATGGGTCGGAATGTCCATGACTCACGGAGAGAGTGGCCTTGGAGAGAGGGAGTGACGGGGCAGCAGGCTGAGGGGAGAGCCGAGGTGTGTCCACCCCAGGCCAGCTCCCACCCATGCTCTCAGAGACCGCCAGCGCCACGCAACAGGCAGCACTTAGAGGTAGCGACCCAGTTGTTTGTGTAATCTCACTGATTTCCTCTGATCACACGGGCTCAGCCTTCCAGGTGAGGTGATGTTCATGGTCAAGGGCAATTCTCCAGAGGAGGGAGCCGCTGAACACTCTTGGTAGTAGCCAACGCTCACAGTGGTTGGAAGGGGCTGAACTTGCCAAGAAGCTGGGCCTGGGGAGGGAGGTGACCAACAGCATCCTCTCCAAGAAGAGCATGTCCAGTCCTAAACCAGCACTCAGGATGAACTTCTTGTCTCCTGACCCATATTTTTGGTAAGAATGGACTTCAAGTCCAGCTGCCATTGGTTCCTAAAGCCAAAGCCTTACTCAAGACCTTCAGAAACCCATAAACACCAGGGCCGTGCCAACTGTGATGCGAAGACAACCCAAACCTAACCCGTTGCCATGGAGTCAATTCTGACTCACGTGGCAACCTCATGTGACAGAGCACAATTGTCCCCTTGGGGTTTTGGGGTTTTCCAGGCTGTGAACATCGAGAGGACACAGTACCAGCTCTAGTCTCCCAGGGAGGGACTGGTGGGTTCAAACCGGTGACCTTTTGGTTACAGCTGAACAATTAATCATCACACCACCAGAGCGCCTTTGGCTTCAAGATAAAAAGGCCCCATATAAGATGATTTGTATCCAAGCATGGCTGCGGTGGTGGGAACTTTAAATGTCAAAGGACAATAATCTAGCACCCTTTTTCTTGGTGTCAGAGACGTCCCAGAAAATGTAAGAAACAGACGAAGGAAAGGACTTTGGAGTTTGTGTTCTTCAGTTCATGTGGGACATGAAGGAGAAGCAGACGCCGGCATGTGCTGAGGGCTCGTCTGCTTTGCCAAGTGTGTACAGAGGCAAGAGCTGGGAAACTCAGGGTCATTTGAGAGCCTGGAAAACAAAGGGCTGGGGTTGGGTGCTCGACAGTGAAGATCAGAAACACTCCTTTCCCACGCTCCCCCCGACCCCGTACCTTCTTTCCTAAGCTCGTCAGATTTTTGTTCCAGTTTTTCAACATCATCGTCCAGTCCATCTGAAAATAAGAGAACCACCTAGGAAAACATTCAGAAGCGAGAGGTGAGCAGAAAAGGTCACGGTAACCATTGACCAGCAAAGGAAACAGCCCGCTCACCTTTCCTCGGGCTGCTGACTTGTTCTGAAACGTGTCCCACAGTGCACTCAGCAGGTTGGTGTTGAGAAACGAGGGCTCTTTCACTTTGACGTCTTTCAAGCTGTTCAGGATATTTTCACTGTAGATCTCAAACTTGGGGGAGTATTTCTCCATGGCATTTGTCACTTGGAAAGCGACGCTGACCTGAGTCTCCGTGCCCACCTCACAGCTCACCCCGTTGAGGGAGCTGGCTGCGTGTAAGATGTCTTGAAGGTAGGCTCCCATCCAAGCCTGATCTTCAAGAAAACTTTGTCCTTTCTGCTGGGTTGAGATGTCAAATCCCACCACCACATCCACAAAACAATCTAGGATGCAAAGGAAATACATCTCATGTGAGATTAACAAGCACATTGTGTTGGCTTACACACCTTGACTCCTTCCAGGGATTTGGAACAAAGTCTACCCCACTTATAAAACTGGAAAAGAGGGAGACCAAGAAAAAATAATGAAAAAAATATGGGAATCCTTTTTATTACCTGTAACAATGCAAGTGCGCACTAGTTTGTTCATTTTGTTAAAGCTGGAAGAGAGTCTAGGTAGTCTTACAACAATTAAAATGATGAAATATTTCATTGAGGCCATTGAGACGGTCATGCAGTTCTAAAGCACATCCTAGAAATGCTAGTAGTCCAAGACAGAAAGTTATATCATGCCACTTATCAACTGAAATAATTTAAGAGATACTAAATTATAATAATTATGAGACGAATGTAGAAGTATTTGAATAGAGAAAATAATTTAAGAAAAAGTAAATTACAATGCATTTGCTTGATTGAGTCTTACTTATCTTTGTAAAGAGTGATCTGTTCTATTGAAAACCCTATGTACAATAGAACAGATTGCTCTTTACAAGGATAAATAAGAAAAGACCTTTCTTTTAAGCAAGTGCATTGTAATTCACTTTTTCTTAAATGATTTTCTCTATTTCTTAACTGCTAAGAAAATGAACAGATTCATCCTGGAGAGGGTTAAACCAAGCTGCTCCTTGGAGGCAAGGATTCTGAGCTTCGTCTGACATACTTTGGACATGATGTGAGGAGGGACTAGTCCTCGTAGAGAGATGTCATGCTTGGGACGGTGGAAGGACAGCGCAGGAGAGGAAGACCCTCTATGAGGTGGATCGATTCAGTGACTGGGGTAATGGGAGTAAGTGTGTCAGAGATAGTGAGGTTGGCACAGGATAGAGCAGGGTTTAGGACTATTATACATAGGGTCACTATGAGTCGCAAGCGACTCGATGGCACATAACAACAACAAAGAGCAATCACCCATGACTTCTCTTTTTGTCTCCTAACATTCAAGTAGAAACACAAACAACACGAAGAAAACGCCAAGAGGTCTTTTGAGATTTTCCTAGGTGTGTGTCCTAGAGGTTGAAGAAACTGACCTCCAAATAGCTCTACCCTTTCTCAAGGATTTCAGGCGTGACGCTGCCTTCAGGAGCCCAGCCACCCAGGAAGCCAATGTCCTTTCTGGAATATTCACAAAATCTCCCCAGAAGCCCCTCCTCGCAGGCATGGTGGTTCGGTTCCAGATCACACAATAACATAGCTGTCACAAGAAAGGAGCCGCACAAATGTTTTCGTTTCCCAGTGCATATACAGTTACATTTACACGACACTATTAAGTGTAACATGATGAAAAAGTTTAAAAGGTGTGAAAATTGACAAAACGTGGCCTAAGGGCACAAACTGAGCACTTGAGCTTGGAAAAATGATGTCGGTAGACTTGCTTGACATCTGGTTACCACACATTCCAACGGGGAAAAACTCAGCACCTCTGAAGTATTATAAAGATGGAAGCTCAGGAAAAGGAAGTGTGGTTGGACTGAGAGACGCTGCACAGTGGTAACTCGCAGGAATGCAGATTGAAAGGTTGGTGGATCGCCTCCACCGGCGGTTCAGAGGGGAAAGGTTTAGAGCCTCGGAGGCCAAGGGAAGAGGTCCAGGAGTTGGAACTGACTTGGCAGCAGTGGGGTTTTGGATTTGCTTGATTAATCATCTAAAATGCTAGAAGAGGTTTGCTATTTTAAGCTGAACCTCTGAAAAAGCAGCTAGTTAGAGAAGGATATGTCTAAGAAACAGATATAATTGTCTTAGAGCCCAGACTTTTGGGATTCATGAGATTGAGAAGGCCCATTAGACCTTGATCCTGAGATGCTTCTTTTGAAGCCTGAGGTTTGGAAAAACTGATTTCCTACAATAATCTCTGTATCAAAGACTCTAATCCTGGCTCTGAGACGGCCAGGCTGCCTTAGGAGCCGGGTGCTTCTGGGGAACAACCTACACTCAGTTTCAAAGGTCAGAAGCAGACTAGCATCGGTGTTTTACATTGAAAGGTTATTAAATGGACCTTTTCCTGTGGTAAAGCACTTTGGTGGCATAGTGCACAGCGCGCTGGCTATGAACCTGAAGGTCTTTGGTTTGAGCCCAGCTGCTGCTCCTCAGAGGGAGGTGGGCTGTCTCAGCCTCAGAAACCCAGGGGAGGGTCACACCAGTGAAAATCAACATCACCAAAGTGTGGTCGGGTCGCCTCCCCGACCCCGCGCTAATGCCAATAAAATGAAGTGTATAAATTTTGGGGGGATTTTTTTCTCTCCCAATTTTCAAACTATATGTTAAAAGAAACATTTAGAAATGGCTATTATTGGCTTAACATGACACATAACTTTTCTTTGAAGAATTTTCAGTTGGTTAAAAACACCAGCCTGCTTAGGCAACCTCAACATGCTCTTGGCAGAATGAGAAGTGTTTATTTTTAATTTGCCTTATTTAGCTCGGTAGTTTCATGATGATTGCTGCATGGGGAAAAGTCTGCCCACATTACTTGGCCAGTTGGACACATGGGCCAGTTGGACATTTGCAAGTCACTTAAATAAAATGTCTTGTGTTTGAGCTGATAGCTTAATTCAGCCATTATTTGTAAGTATGTATCTTGAGACTTGAATCTGGTCACTTTATCACACTCATTGGTAAGCCATTCTGTGGTGGCTTGTGTGTGGCTGTGATGCGGGATGCCACCAGTATTTCAAATGCCATCAAGGAGAGCATGGTAATGGATTTCAGAGGGGCTCCCAGACTGCCGCAGACTAAGAAGCAGGACTGGCCACTCACTTGGGAAAGGTGAGCCCTCCAACATTCTCTGTCTGACCTGGTGTTGGAGATGACCCCTCAGGCTGGGAGAGGTTCAGCATCCCCCTGGGAAGAGCTGGCCCCCCAGAGCGGTCTACCTTAATGATGACTGTGGAGTAGCATGGACAGCCAGCTGAGACCCACTTCTGTTGTTGCGGCATGACTCAAGAAGAGGAGAGGCAGCTGGGAACATTAAGAGTTGGAAGATGGAATGTACAAATAGGAATCTAGAAAAATTGCAAGTTGTCAAAATGGAGTGGAATACATAAAGATCAATATCCTAGGCGTCAGTGAGCTAAAATGGGTTAGAATTTGACCATCTTGAATTGAACAATCATATAAATCCTGGAGAGGGTGAAACCAACCAGGCTGTTCCTTGGAAGAAGGATTTTGAAGCTCTGTCTGACATACTTTGGGCCAGTTTCCAGGAGGGACCAGTCCTCGGAGAGGGATTATCATGCTTGGGAGGGTGGAGGGACAGCGCGGGATAGGAAGACCCTCGATGAGATGGATTGATTCAGTCACTGGGGTAATGGGAGTAGGTGTGTCAGATACTATTGAATTGGCTCAGGATGGACAGGGTTCAGAGCTGTTGTTCATAGGGTCACTGTGAGTCAGAGTTGACTCAATGGCACATAACAACAACACAACATAGCTTACTACCCACAAACAACTCCTTGGTTCCAGCAGTCAAGAAATCAAAAGATATGTTTCACTGGGGAAATCGATTGTCAAGGACCTCTCAGAGGCAATAAGGAGCAACAGTGTCAGTTTAAAGACTAAGGTGCACCTGATTCAAACAAAGGTCTTTTCAATTACTTCCTATGCCTCTGAAAATAAGACAGTGAATAAGGATTACAGAAAAAGATCCAATGCCTTTGAGTTGTGGTGTTGCAGAAGAGTACATATTATCCCCTGGGCTGTTAAAATAACAAACAAATACGTTTTGGAGAAAGAGCTCTTGGAGGCAAAGACGGTGAAACTTCATCTTATACCCTTTGGGCACGTTGTTAGAAGGATCCAGTCCTTAGGAAAGATAGTGTGCTTGGAAAACTGAAAGAACAGCAAAAGGGAGGAAGACCTTCAGCAAGACGAGGTGACACAGAGATTGAACAATGGGTGAGAGTCTACCAGAAATGTTGAGGATGGCACAGGATGGGGCAAAGTTCGGATCTGTTTTCATAGCGTTAGTATCAGTCCTCTTCGACGTGACAGTACCTACAACAACAACAGTGCTCTACTGTGCTGGCAACTGAACAAGAATGGTGTCACGTTCATCATCAAAAAGAACAACTTTAAAAAAAAAGGAAAGAAAAAAAATTCAAGATCTGTCCTAAAGTAAACGTGGTCAGTGATAGGATATCCACATATACAAGGAAGATCTCCTGTTAAGATGATTGTTCAGATATACACACCCACCAACCACTAAAGTCAAGATGAAGAAAAGGAGGATTTCTACCAACTTGTGCAGCCTGAAATTGATCAAGATGCATTAATAATAATTGGTGACTGGAATGTGGAAATAAAGAAGGACTGAAAGTTGGAAAATAGGATCTTAGTAACAGAAGTGAAGCTGGAGGTCACACGAGTGAATTTTGTACAATCATAGGGTCGTACAGTTTGGTGGGTTGAGAGAGGGGGGGTAAGGGAAATGGGAAAGGTCTGGAAAGACAGGGTAATGGTGGGTATGGTTTAATGGGGAATGATGTTAGAACACAATGAATGGGAATTCTTGTATGAAGCACAATATGAATGAAAGATAGTGTGAAACAAAATACGAACTTTGTATGCAAACCAACGTAAAATTTAAAAAAATAAATAAAAAAAAGATTTATTCATTGATAATACTTTTTTAAAAAAAAAGAAAATCACCTATAAACAGCAAAAAACCACATGGACTTCACCTTAGTAAAGAAAGGAATAAGATGGACTACGTTTTTACATTTGTGGAGAGAAATGGTGGAAAATTGATGTGAATGTTACTCGATATCATCACTGAGAACAAAGCCAGGGGCCAAGTGTAGCTAAACCATCAAGAGATTGTGTTGTTGTTGACATGTGTCTCTGGGGCAGAATCAGCTCAGGGGAGCCTCCAGCACGTTCTCAGAGGCTATAAACTGTGTGGGAGGAGATTGCTTCTCTTCCCCCCTCAGAACAGCCAGTGGGTTGAAATC